TCGAGGCGGATTTGAGAGCCGACTTTAAAGGCAATGCAGCTGCTGGCTGTGCGCCGGCTGGGGGAAGAGGTGGAGGAGGGGAGGGACCGCTGCAGGACAGCGAGCGGGAGGTTAGCGAAAGGCTCTCGAAGGCGCGGCGCAGCGAGGATGTGGAGCGTCGATGGAGACGCGAGAAACTGGACCGGCTAATCGGCTTCCGCTTCGATTGCTGCGCTTGCTGCTGCTGCAAGTGGTGCTGCTGCATTTGCTCCTGCTGCTCCTCGATGTCCAGAGTGCTGCTCGTTTCGCTGGAGGCGCACGACATGGACATCAGCTCCAGACGCGACTGGTGAGCGTTGAGGCCACGCCCCGAGGAGCACGAGTCGGTCGATGAACTGTGCGCGTCCTCCTCCTGGAGAGTGACCCCGGCTACTCCCCCTCCACATCCGCCTCCTCCGCTCCTCGATGTTGCAACGCTGGCTGCGTCATCCGAGTGAACTAGGTCATCCTGCGACCTCAGGCCGAAGCGGCGGCTCAGCTGCCGAAAGAAGCCCAGATTGCGTTCGTAGCGCGGTGTTGGCGAAACGCTGAGACTGCCGCCCGGCGATGGAGTGCCAGTGGTGTTATTGTGGCCCACATCGAGTTTGTTGTTGTTGTTGTTCAGGCTGCCATTACTGACTGTCCTGTGCTGTTGTTGCAGCTGCTGCTGCTGCTCATCGGCGAAGCAGACATGAGGAGTACCCATCTTTTCTGCTGGGACTAAGTCCTAGCTCATCCAACAGCCACGCTGGCGTATGAGTAATTTCCTTATTATCAGGCAGCTGCCAACTGCTTAATTTCCTAATTCAGTTACGTCCTAACGTGCTTTCTTGGCCAACTGTGCGTATGCGTAATTTCGGTAATGCGTATGAGTAATTTCCTTGTTTTCGGAACACTGCAAATGGCTGCACTTCCGCTTCCGGTGCAAATACTCTCCGTTTCCTTTGTTATCACTACCGGTGTCTTTGTCCACTGTTTACCTTTGCCTTTTTCCAGCGAGAGCGAGAGAGAACCGACTGGGCACGTTGTCCTGCCGCTTGTGAGTCGGCAAATCGTAAGCCGCTGCCTTTTATAGCCTCGCCCGGCACTCTGCACAGAGTCCTTAGAGAGAGAGCGAAAGTGCTGAGAGCAGACACATTTTGCGGCAGAGAGAAGCACTTTCTGCAAGGACCCCAGCTACCCCTGCTTCTTGCCGCATCCTTTGTTCCCGCATTGTTGCCTAATAATAAAACGGGAAGCGACTTTTGTTTACCGCCGCTGGTTTGTTTGGTTTCTTGTTTGCACTGCCCCAGGAGCCTGCGACGCTGGCCGCCAGGTGGAGTCATTGCACGCGGTCGAGGCGCGCTCCATACGCTTTTAGATTCTAGAATTCCTGCCATCATAAGGGGTATAGTGCACCTAAGGGGGATACCAGCTTAGAAGGCCGAAACTCGACGGTATTTTGTGAGTTTTTTAAACTGAGAAGCAGTAGTTGGAATTCGACTTAGCTTTCTGGGCCATTCTTAAGCCATTTATAAATGTTAGAAACATATAAATACAACGAGATTTAAACAAGCTCTGGTCAAAACTTCATTTTTTTGAATAATTTTTGGTGCATTAAAAAACATTAACCTAATAATTAACAATCTACGTGATTGAACAAAGATTAATCACAAATAATTTGCAACAAAATAAATCACTTTGACCTAGACTGCACAACCAGTTGAAAAAAGTATTTTCAAAAATTCCAGCGTTTACGTTGGTTCAAAAAAGACTATTCCCAAATACCATACAATATTCGAATTTTGTTTTAATTAAAGAGCTGTATTTCATTTATTTTCTTTGATTTCTTGCTTAAAAAGTCAATCCATTTAAAAAGATTAATTCAGTATAAGGCATCTAATATTCGAGACAGAACGTTCGGGAATTCTGTGCAGCGGTTATTCCGCCTTTAATTGTTTTATTTTCTCTCCCCACAGGGCCATCAATTATTAATCAGCTAGACGTTTTCATTTCACTTTGTTCCGTTTGACTTTCCTGGTTGATTCAATTGGCCATTGTCGAAAATAGCACGAAGGGCTCGTTGATGCCTACTTCTGAAAGACGAGAGCATGATTTTCCTAAAAATAACCTTGGAGTCGAATGTTTTCAAGGACCCTAAGAGGTGTTTCTTAAGAACCTAAGAGACTCTTGGACGAAGCAATATTTTATTGAAATTTCACCGCACTTAAGTTGGGGGTCGAAAATAGATTCTGCCCCTTCGGTCCCTTGTGACTTTGGTTTTTATTTAATTGCGCCCAAAATTGATTTTAATGCGCTATAAATAGAGCCGTACGCCAATTTTGGGTGAACGCATTTTAAGACAGGCTAAGACGACGGCGGCTTAATGAAGTCCTTTGTTTTGACTTTTAGATAATAAAATGGGAGGGCACGAAAGTTCAGAGATGGGGGAGGGTGGTAAGTGCTAGGAATCAGGAGGTGTCGACAGCGACTGGATACCCATACCCCGATAGAAAATCCATGAACATCTAATTAGAGGCGCAATTGTTGACACCAACTGACGTCAGAGCGACCAGCGTTTTTGTTTTGGCCAAAATGACACAAATCGGATTCCAATTTGGCCAGTGGGAGGCGATGGGTGGGAAGCTGGAAATCCATTGTCGCCGAATTACTAAGCGCTTGTCGCTCCCATTTAACAACGCATTAACTCATTTCGACTTAATCAAGTTAGTCAACAGATTAGTGAGTAAGCCTACCAGTCTGTCCTGCTGGTGACTGACCCCGATTTATACATTCTAAGAGATAATAATATTTTGATTTGATTATGTGATTTGATTATTACTTTACCGTGAAGGGAAAGTGTTTTTAGTTTTGATATATGTACATTTTTCAAGCTTATGAACAGAAAGGAAGCCAGCGTCGACACAACGAATATATAACCCCTGCCAGTGTATACAAATTATTGCAATAAGTATTTGGTAAAGCTAACTGTTCAATGTTTCCTTGTTAAGCAGACATATACCTTAAAAATTAATTTCAAATTGGTGTTAACATTAATCTAAAAATGTTTAAGAGAATTTAAATAAAAGGTTGGCATATTCTGGTTTAGCCCGTTACTCGTAGAGTAACAGAGCTTCCAGCAGCTTCCACAGACATAGACGCAGCGCAAGTTTATTTCCAAATGTTGCCACGCCCGCTCCAACGCCCACAATTTTTGAACAATTTTTTTTCATTTCTTAATTTTATTCGCAATTTTTACCGATATTCCAGAAAATAATGATATTTCTCTTTCGCACTTCCACTAGCTGAGTTACGGGTATGTGATAGTCGGGGAACTCGACTATAGCATTCTCTTTTTTTTTTCTTAATTTATTTTAATCGGATTTTGAAGTGGCATTCCTCTAAATGTTTCTGGCGCAATTCTCAATATAACTGCATTCAAATTTAGAACATTTTTTTAATTTATTTTTTTATGTAATTATACCTGTTACTCGTAGAGTAAAAGGGTACACTAGATTCGTTGAAAAGTATGTTACAGGCAGAAGGAATCGTTTTGAGAAAAAATTGAGAAAAAAAGTGCATTTCCTAGAATTGAAGCAAGCAATCGTTGCCTCTGGCAGCTTTTTCATAGAATAACCAGAACCCACACAACTAGTATTTAATGGCAGTTTTCTCTCGAATGAATAACAAACCATCAAATTCATTTCCAAACTGCGTCATAAAACTATCCAAAAGACAGATCAATTTGTCTCCCTTTGTTGGCAGAAATTCGGGTTAAAGGCTTTTGTTTGTTTGCAGATAAATCATGCATTTTAATTTGATTTTTTAGGACAAACTGTGCCAAGGATAGCTAACCCTTTGGACCTGAGGCTTGTTTACTATGGGTTTGCTATCACAAGAAAGGGTTCACAGAGACAATGACCTCGAAATGATTACTCCAGGGGGTGGGCAGGGGCATGGGTACGGACATGGACCACCCGGTGTCCTCGGCTTGAAGAGCCTTAATAATTGAGGTGTCATCAAATTTTAAACGCTTTCGTTTGTCACGCCCGCCAAGTGCAGCGGTGTCGATTAACGTCACACGGACATGATATGCGCCAGTCAAAACTATAAGGTCGAGTCCTTCGGCGACTTGATTTTGAGGACTTTGCCTACATCATCGCGGCAGCAGCACAGGCTCTCTGTTCCCAGGGAACAGTGCTCCGCAGACTGTAACCCAAACAAAAGGAGGCCACGTGCAGGACGAGCTCTCTGCCGCTCTCTCACAGAATGTGCTCTCGTGTTCGGCACGAGCTTTGGCCTACGTTAACGGTGTCCTTAAGCTTTCGCCAAAACCGTTACGAATCGAAGTTGCTTTTCCAACGCAGTTCGGTTCATTCGCTTTGTGCTCCCTTTACCTTGAATGCAATTAAAACGGCGCTTTTTTATCTTCTTGTATATTTTATTTTATTGACAGCTAGACTTAATTGTTAGGTTCGGTTAGGATCTAAAAATATATAGGCTCTAAACATTTTGCTAATCATTTTTTCATTATCATCTACCGTACCATATTTCATCATGATATTTCCGCATTATTTATAATAATTGGTTTTGTTTTACAAAAAGTTTCGATTTATTGGAATGTGAATTATTGTAAAATGTTCCTCTATTAGTGTGATCTTAAAGAATTTGTTTTCCGTTTTTTTCCGTTGTATAAATTCGTAAAGTTTTTTTTTGGTTTTAATAGTCGTCGAAATTAGTGCAAAATATATTTTAAACTAGTTCAAAAGTGCAAAAATCGTTTGTTTTTGAAATTAAACTATTCTTTTCAACTAAGGTGTCCCGAAATGTAATGTCTACAGCTATTCTCGAAAGATATGTGAGAGGCTTCTAAATAACATTTGGTTTTTCATTAAGCTAAATTGAATTAATATTCGTTTGTAAACTGAAAGTCCCTAAATTATCCGAAGACAATTAGATCGCCTAAGGAGTATATCGTAGCACATAGATAGTTTTTTGATTTTCTGGGCTTGGTTTTAGGTACACTTATTGGGTTTGCGAACTCAGCTTGGACACATTTATAAAATATGCTGCTTGTTGTCGTGAGCCCCTATCTTCCCTCTACTCTCCCCCTACTCAAATCTCTGGATTTCAGGCACTACTCGTACATCACTAGAAAATTCCTAAGTATATTGTTCAAGACCCCCAACCAGCTTGCAGCTTTCCATCCATTTTTTGCTGTCCCAGGTGTTTTAGTACATGTGCTGCAGGGTGTACGGATAGCAGACCGCATAGCTGGGCACTCGGGAATACAGTCCCGACATGCCCTTCATGTAGACGTACTGGACTGGCGGCCGCAGGATGCTCTGCTGCTTCTTGTCCTCCTTCTTAGAGGCAGGAGCACGGGAGGATTTGGAGCTGGAGCTGCTGCTGCTGCTGTTGTTTGAGTTGTTCGGCGACAGCGATTTCTTGGGCTGACGCAGTGGAGTGCTGCTGCAGGACAACGAGCGCATCGATGCATTTCCCGTTGGACTGGAGAAGTGATGCAGTATGCGGCTCACCGAGGACGAGATGGAAATCCGGCTGAGGTGCAGTCCCGGTGACTTGGCGGACGCGGCGGATGCGGATCGGGGCTTGCTGTTCTCGTTCTCGTCGTGGCGCAGCTCCACCTCATCCTCCGCCTCGTTGCTGCTGCCCTCCTCGCTGGTGTCCTCCTCGAAGTGGAGCTGCGGATGCAGTTGCTCCATGGCACTACCGGGTCTGTAGACAGCCTCCACATAGATGTGTCCCTGCTGATCGTAGTAATCCAGGCCAGGCGAGTATCGGGAGCAGGCCGATCCGCTCGAAGTCCGGGATGTGTGTTCCAGATCCAGGGAGGAACCATTGATAGGACACTCGTGGCTGCCACGCTCGTAGCTCAAGCTGAAGGAATCCGTGGAGCTGCTCCTGATATCGTCCTGGCTGCTGTAGACCGTCTCGTTCTGCTGGTTCTGGTGGTGAAAGTGCCTGCCCAGGTGCCGGCTGAGCAACTGCAGCAAACTCCTGGAACGGGATAGTTTCTTGGGCCCATTCCTTGGGTGACGATGCAGCTTCTCCTTCTGCTGCTGCTTGCCGAGATCCATGGAGGAACTGGCCGCCGAGCTGCCGCTGGAGCTCGACTTGGAGCCATTGTTGGGTGACAGAGTATCCATGGCGTGAGTTTGTATTTTCTCTTAATTTATCAGATATATTTTAGTTCACTTTTTGGCACTGGCACAGTAATTCAGTTCGTGTTCTGGCTTTCAGTTGTATGGCCTTTCCCAGGGAACTTGTTTCAGGATAATGCGAACAGTTGATGTCTCGACGAAGACTACCAGTGGCAGGCGTTTGGCACCCGCTTTTATACAGCTCCTCAATGCCGCGGCAGCTTCGCATCCTAACCTTCGCCCCCACGAGGACACTTCCCGTGGCTCGGCTATAGCTTCGTGTTCCGATGTGGGTTCGCCTGCCATACTGACACACACCCGTCGGAAATCAGTGCCCTGTGTGCCGTCAAGAAGGACACTACATTAAAATACCCCATCCGAGGATTCCTTCTGGAAGCGCAAGGAGTCGAGGCGAGTACCTGTTGCTTGCCGTGGGGTTTTCCACTCAACGTGACTGCTGATGCTTCCCCTTTTAGCCGGGCTAACAAAGCCAGCTAACAACACTTTGGGCGTCGCTGGTTGCACTTTTGAGTTTTTAGCATTGTTGTGCGTGATTGGGAACGTGATCCGTGCACGTCATCCATCCGTGCGACGAGGTTCCTGATGAACACTTCCAGAAATTCGTAAGGAACTAGGCAAGGCAGGTGCGAGAGGTAAATGGGAGAGCCAAAACTTATGGTCGGTAGTAGTGAACTTTGGTACGGAACTGGCAATCAAACGAAAGGAAAATAACCAATTTGGCTAAAACTTGGCTTAAAATATACAAAATTATGTAGCATAAATTAGAAATATTCTGTTTCATTCCATTTATAAATATCCCTAAGTAATGAGAAGCAAAGTAGAATCAAACAGGGTCACATATAATTATTTTTGAGCTAAAATCCAAGATTTAATTTTTTCATTACATAGTTTAGATATGAGTTCTTTGTATTAAGCAAAATAAGGAATATCACTTACAATGGATAAGTTATCAAAAAGAGCTTGGCCAGATTTCTTTATATATTTACCCATTTTAGCCATAAATTTCCAAATTTATAGAAATATATAACTCATACCTCCCAATTTTGTTCTGTGTGGCACGCAACACCTTTACATGAACAAGTAGGGCGCCCACTTTAATAGTTGCTCGGGCCAAGAAATGGCTAAAACTGCCACATGCTCAACGTGCAGGTGTCGCACCTGAAACTTTAACCCATGTGTTTGCAAATCACGAGTCGTCAAGAAATCGAAAGGAAGGGGTGAAAGCCGGAGAGTGATTCCCTTAATCCCCGATGGTTTCTGCAATTATGTGCTCCTCCCAACCCAACAGGTTGCATCTGCCGAAGACTCAAGCTGCGCCTGCACGTTTTGCAAACGCATTTCGGTTATGCAGCGCTCCCTGAAGATACATCTATAAATAATTGATACACCGCCGAGGACATTAGCATAATCAGCGGGTCGAAAAGGGCGAATCCAAAAATACTCTGCATTCAAAGCGGGGAAATGTCAGCCTAATAATGATGCCATTGGCTCTACAAGTTTTCAATAAACTACTCCATCTCATTTCTTAGTGTTAGATGAAATCAATAATTTAAAAGTTATTAAAGGCACATTTCGAAGCATGTTGCATTGAACATTTAACTCTAGCTGTCATAAAAAGACACCCACATACATTTTACTTGGAGTGCGCCCTGTGAGAAGCAATCAAAGGGTTTTGTGACAGGAAATCGAAAATCCAGAAATTCAGTCAGTGGGTCACCAGAGGCCCCGGGGATACGGCACGTACTCAAAGCCCACCTCCCACTATATATATCCTTATATTCAAGAAGTATATAATATATAAATCAACCTGACCTGGGCAAAAGAATAAGGCTTAACAGTGCGTGCCGGGGAAAATAGTGAAAAGACTTTTGTGTGATTTGCGCATCTATTTGCTGTGGCTTTTGGCTTTTATACGGAATCAGAGCAGGAACGACGATAGCGACAGGGCCCCGATTCCGAGATCGAGGGCGCCATAGCGATTGGCATACGGATAGGGGTATCCGTACGGTCCCGGGCTGTTGTGGTAGTTGTTGTAGTAGCCACCTGCCGGGTACGCTTCTCCGTAGTAGTAGGGTCCTGGCTGGGGGCCCAGGTAAGGCTGCTGGTAGCCGACGCCGAAGGAGACCAGCGGCTTGGCCTTGATGCAGGTGGTGGCCACCAGCAGGAGCACTGCTAACTGCAATAGGAGGAGGTGGCTGAGAGGAGCTGGTACTGGCTGATGGAATTGGCTACCTACCCAGAGATAATTGCGCATTTTCTGTTCAAGCTGCAAACTACGCCGTCCAGTGCCGTTCTCACTTTGAGCTCCTCCTTGGGCTCCCAAAGACCTTTTATATCCAAGGTTGGGCTCCTGGGATGCAAAGCCTGTTTTTACATTGGGTAAACAACTTGACGGGGGTCCACTTCCCACAGCCCGTTCTAAATTCTGGTCACCCTTTTGCCAGCTGCACGCCGAAAAACGTTTCAATTTTAAATACTATTTAAAATATATACTCCTTTAAATCAAGTTTTACAATTAAATATTACCTTTTAAAGCAAGTAATACATTTTTAGCACATATACTTCGTTGCTTAATATATTTACGAGAACAAAGCAGTGCTAATCGTGTTTAAGTGTACTTATTTTGTCAGCAATGTAAGATTGTTGTTCGCATAGATTTGCCTGCCTGGTCGAGCCTGCGATTTCGCTAGCCATTAATTGGACATTGTAGCAGCCTTGAACTTCCCCATGGACCGAATCGGATACCAATGCAGATGATGCTGACGATGGAGCTCCGGCTCCCCTGGAAAGCAACAGGTTTGCCACAGAGATTATGGGCTCTGGTAAGCTGATACGGACGCCACCTTCCCGCGCCATTCCACCCAATCGGATGTATCTGTTGGCCAGAGGAGCAACTTCTAATTAGCTTTGCATAATTAACGCGGGCTCAATCTGGTTTCGTAATCATCAATCATGGCTCTTGATGGCCGGTTGAGTACTGTATAATTTTATAACGATCGTTGATTTCTTCAAAAATTATTTGTTGGAAATTACCGTGGGCATTTTTGTTTAACAAAAAGTAAGTAAAAGTAATAAAATAAAGAAAGCATTTATATTTCCGAGTGCAAGCTGCTTATCTTTATTTAGCTTTAAGCCAGGATTCCTGTTTCAATATTCTATTATGTGTAAACAGGTTTTTCAGCGCTGTTGTTTATTAAGTTTTTACTATTAAAGGAAAAGGGTTTTTGTTATAAGTTAGTTTAACTGAACAATGTATTTTAAAATATATGTATCATTATCATTATTTAATTTAGCTTAGTAAGTAAAGAAAAAAGTTTACCAAAGTTTTCGGTCGAATAATGCAATCCCTGATATCAACGATCTTTTTGTTTTTTCACTTCTTAAAAGTTGTTATGCTAATTGAACTCAGTGCTATTTATTAACATTGGGTAACCAAGGGGATTAGGCTATTTTCCAAGGACATCTAGGTGTTAATCAGCCCGATTAAGAGTTCATAACTAACCCTGCTGAGTATCGATGGCCATCCAGCAATCTACGCACTTGGGTATCTTCCATGGCTGGATGCCATGTGACAACCTCGGGTCACGTTCCGAAGCGATTCCCTTCGGGATCGACATGCCATTTGCCAAAGGGCAAAAATCGGGGAGCAGCTTGTGGGAGTCACATTGCACCTTGCGGTGGATTCTACGGCTTCTTTTTGCTGCGGTGACGTTGGACGTGCGACATGAGTCTTGATTTGTTGTCGCTTTTGTGATTTTATTAAATTTAGACAGGCCTCCAGGAGCACGGGTGAAGAGTTGTATGTGGGGACAGGGATTTGGGCGTGGTTATTCGATATAGCTATTATTGTCAGGGGCTTTATAACTGAACAATCGGAGGCCGAGTTCAACAGACAGCGAGTGAGCCAGGTCACTTGGTTTTGGGGGAAGTAGGAAAGTTGTTTTCACAGACAGCTCAACACAATGGGGCTTATCCTCTAGAGTTAAACACCTTCGATGAGGAGCGGTCGAACTTTATTCAAATTTCACTTGGTTACAATTCACGCAAAGGTTTGTTGCTCCCGCCATCTAGTAGATGTACTCATAGGTCAGGGGCTTGTAGTCGCTGCGATATTGCTGCTGGAAGGAGTTCGGGGTCTCCACGCTGTGGTAAAGATGCGACTCGGCGGCTGCCGGGGCAATCAAACGGGAATAGGCCAAGGGAAGCACGGCCGAGGACCTGGCAAAGGTACTGGGATAGTACCCATAGCTAGGGGTATAGTAATACACCTCGTGCCCTAAAGCCAGGGCAAGCAAACAGGCAAAGATCAGCTGTTAGATAAATGAGTTTGGTTAAGTATATAACCTATATAAGTGAATATATAGAAGAGTTCCCCGATCTCACCAGCTTCATTTTCTCTCGTTGCAGTTCCTTGAAGATCGCCTATCCAACTGAATAGCCATTCCTCGCTACTCCAGGCTTTTATAGCTCCCACTCGCCATCAGACCTTCACTTTGGCTGGTGGCCAAGGTCAAAGGCATTTGCCCAGCAGGCGGCAAATGAAAGAAGCCCTTAACTCACTTTGAATGGGCCAGTTGCAATTGCAATTGCCAGCGGAACTCGTTCCTGCCACTCAGAATCCAGATGCGAATCGCGATGGTCGTGAGTCCGCTGACAAGGCAGCTAAACCGGGATGCCTCTTGGGCTGTAGAACTGCGAGTCTAGTTGCCTCCTTCCAATTTGCACCAAAGCCTTGTCTCCCCTCGCTAGATAGAAAACAAAATGAAAAATTTAAATAGTTTGGATCGATTCCTAAAGATATGTTATATATTCATAGTTGAGCAACTTATGATTTGGGTGCTATTCTAATCATTTATTTTATATAGAGTTTTGATAATAAAGAAAAACCTAAAAATAACTGGTACTTCAAATACGCTAAATTTTTTAGAAGGATTTTCTTTTGAGTGTTTACATAAAATTATCATCAATCAAATAAGGACATTTCCCCGTAGTGTATGTTCGAGTATTTTCCATTTTTGCTAAGGCGCAAATTTAGGCATTTCTTGACGTCTGTTTACTTCCATCGATTTGGATTGCGTCTTGCTCTTGGCGCCTAAATAAACAGTTAAGTGCGTTCTGGATTGAGACGCACTTCCGGTGTTTTCCCGCCTTCAATCACGAAGCTTTCAAGGTCAGTGGTGGGTTGTGGGTGGTGCGGAAAAGTGGCCAAGTTTCCTTTTGTCTACGAATCAGTGAAAACAAACTCCCACGCCGAAATCAATTAAGTGAGTTTATTGTTCGAAGCATGTAATTCGGCAGAATATTTTCATTTTTCTCTGGGTTGTTGATTTGTTATTTGCCTAAAAAATTGCGCAGTTTCCGCGCATTATTTTGAGCTTTTGTGGTGCGTATATCAGTACGTATCGCATTAGTGATGCAATTTTTGGTGGGTGGGCAACTGCAGTCTGTCACTCACCTAAGCTGGCGACCTGGGAAACCTGAGCACTCCGCGTCCGCTAAGATTTCAAAGAGACTCGTGGGTTTTGTATATCGGACCAAGGTCGAGCAATTGCTGGGGCTTCTTGGCTTTTGAGCTGGGTTATAAAAAGCGGCATCGCATTCAACCAGCCATCAAACCATCTTTTGGCAGCTTCTCAACGAGTTCCACTTTGAGTTTTGCGTTCCAGAAGTTCTTCAGCAATCAAAACCGCTTCAAAATGTTCAAGCTGGTAAGGATTTCCTAGCCTCCGTATGAAAGAAGTTAATTAAGTGAGAAACTCATCCCGCCTCCAGTTCGTGTTCCTCACCTTCTGCCTGGCTTTGAGCTGTGCCGCTCCAGGTCTCCTGCACTCCTCGCCCATCCTGACCAGCTCTTACCACAGTCTGCCCTCGGTGCGCGTGATCCAGCCCATTTGGACCACTTCGCACAGCGTTGTGCATCCCATCAGCTACGGGGGATACGGCCATGGCCGTGGACTTGGATATGGCTGGATCTAGGAGGAGCCATCTCACAGATAGGCGTCCTCAAGACTCGGCCGCCAGAGCGCCTGTCGCCCGAAGCTCAGCTCAAGATCCCCGGAGCTTAGCCACCTCTTTGACGGACATGCCTCAAATAAAGTTCTGAAATTGGTCTGATATCTATGTGTCATAACATTTATTGTGGAGGAGGGGGAGCCTCTATCCTGTGGGGTATTTAAGCCACCGTTGTTGTCCTACTTGGCTTAGTTAACGTGCAGATTCACAAGGGACATGTTTGCTGTAAGTACACTTACAGAATTTAGGTGTACTAGTATTTTAACAGAATACAAAATATTGGTTATGGCAAAACTAAAAAAAAATTCAGTTAAATACATTAAATTACAGAAGTTTTTTTTAATAAAATATATTTCTTAGAAATCTTAAAAAATTAAAATATATATTAATCTAAAAATAATGTTGTATAGTTCATATACTTACATTTTAAAGCTTTAAACATGCCGAAACTTCGATTTCTTCGACAGTTCCTTTCGATTTGGTTCGTATTTATGGGCACAGTTTGGTGTCAACCAATATATTTCGTCATGCCAACTGAAGTGGCCCGCAGCTTTGACTCAGCAGAGGATACTTTTTACCAGGAACCAGAAATTGAAGGGATTCAGTTCGTTGAAGACCCCGCCAAGTTTTTCCAACCCAATGAATTTTTTCGAGAAGTAAACAAATTTGTTATCGGCGTCCAAGAATTCGTGCAGAATCCGCCGACTTCCCTGTACAGTGCATTCAACCAACTGCAGAGCAATGCCAAGAAGAACCATCAGAAACACCAGAAGCCCGTGAAAAACAAGGTGGTTCTTGACCCCTTCGGTAACATTTCATTCACCCTGGGCTGGTCAGCCAACCTGGGAGTGTTCAATAGCATCAGTTTCAGCAAGAGTCGCAGTCTGGTCAACTACAAGGGCTGGACTAAGGGTTAACACACCGCGCGGCTAAATTAATAGCCAAATGGTAACATACTTCTGGGCTGGGCCATGGCAATATGACTTGAATTTAAGCGATTTTTATATAACCCACAATAAATGCAAGCTCTTTATTCGAACTGCCTTGTATCTGTTTTTGATTTGCCGCAGATTACGTATACGCCACGGTGTCTAATTTTAAACGCCGCACGTTGCATTGTCTCGGCGAAGTGTGTTCTACCCGAAATGAAATGGCTGCACGCCGTGCAACATGTGTGTGTTGCAGGGATAATTATCTGTAATTATTTATAGTTTGCCCCTGTTCATGACACTCAGCTCTTTTGTGCACTCGGAATTTAGATCTAATGGTTCATTCATCTTCGCTTCGTAGATTATGCGACTGTTCCCAGAAGTTGTTTCTACTTCATTTTATTAAAAGAGTTATGGTTTTTATACCATACCATGTTATAAACATACATTTCTACAAAACAAAAAGTAAATTTCGCTATTTGGTTTTCATTTCAAATTATATGTCTTCTAGTAAACTATATATCTATCTATAGTAAACTATGTATCTATCTATAGTAAACTATGTATCTATCTATAGTAAACTATATATCTATCTAAAGTAAAATATATTTCTATCTTTAGAAACTATATATCAATGGCAGCCCAAAGTTCCTCTTCAGCTCCCAGTACTACCCCATTTCCTAAGTAAAAGACAAATGCGTTCGGTTGTTTGCGAGTTTATTTCAGTTTCATTGCTAGTGTCGGCGTGCTATCCTCCTAAGTCGATCATCCTTCCGGGAATCTACTTCTTCAGGAGAAGAGGAGAGGTGTAGGCGGCATAGGGAGCGGCGTAGGCGGCGGTGTAGGCGGCGGTGTAGGGAGCAGCGTAGGCGGCGGAGTAGGGAGCAGCCACGTAGGGCGATGCCACATATGGAGACGCCACGTAGGGGGAGGCCACGTAGGGGGCAGAGTAGGCCAGAGGAGCCACGAGTCCAGGCTTGGCGGCCACGCAGGCAAACAGAGCGAAGATGACGGCGGCGACGAACTTGAACATCTTGGGAGGTTTGGTTTTTGTTTGGTTTTACTTGTCGGATCGAACAAATGCAACTGATGTCTTAAACAACCCAGACTTGTGGCTTTTATAGCCGCTCAACCAAATGCCTAGCGACCTTGCAAGGTCTCCGGCCGAAAACACATTATGTTGCCCAGGCCAGTCACGTACCATTTGCAGTTGGTACGATTCGCAGCGGATTTAGGTACGATTGCGAGTACTTTGGGTAATTAAGTTGTTGGGCCAAGAAATCCAAGCGCTGAGCTAAAGTGCCAAGGCTAATTGTGGGTGGTCATTTGGGTATAAAACGCCGTGTTCAACCAGCAGTTGTCATCAGTTTCGTTTGCCCGCAAATCCAAACAACCAAATCCAACAAGATGTTCAAGTTCCTCGCCGTCGCCCTCTTCGCCCTGATTGCCTGTGTGGCCGCCAAGCCCGGACTCGTGGCTCCTCTGGCCTACTCCGCTCCTTTGGTGGCTGCTGCTCCGGCGGCTGCGGTCTACAGCCGGGAGTACCACGGAAACTTCGCGGCTCCCTACGTGGCGTCTCCCTACGTGGCTTCTCCCTACGTGGCCTCTCCCTACGTGGCGTCTCCCTATGTGGCTTCTCCTTACGTTGCTGCTCCCTACACCGCTCCTCTGCTGCTCAAGAAGTAGGATGGATGATCCGGGACTTGGCGATATCAATGGGACAACTCAAAGCGAAATAAACAAAAGAATAAAATGAAAATGGAAACGCATTTCTTTATTTTATGCAGAAATTCTTTCTTAGCAATCTTTAGTTTTGCTAAACAAATAGAATGTGAATTATGGTACAACAAAATCAAATGGCAAAGCGGTTTAAGCAGGATACATTTGTAAAATTGTACATACTGGAAGAAAATCCATTGTATTTATTATAATTTTAATTTTAATTTTTAACTTTTTCTTCAAGGTCTTAGAGCTCCCGGTTATCAGAACTCAGTGCTGTACAGGAAGTCAGAAGTATGTGTGCAAGGTCGCTTCAGATAAGCTGACGAGTGTGTCTCGTCTTCCTTTACTGAAACTTTATCAGTTTCATTTCCGCATTTTTCTCTGTGTAAAGATTTTTAAAAACAAAATCAGAGTATTAATTGTTTTATCTTCCTAGTTAAGCGATTACTAGTGCAGCGATTTTTGGCATTAGGTCTTTATTGAACAACGGCAGATGCCTTTTCACCACTTTAAGTTGTTTTAAACAAGCTTGGAGGGATTTTTTACTCTGCAATTTTATTTCCACTTTGTCTTAAAATTAAAACATGTATTTAGCTGAGACTACTGAAGATCTTCACTGCCCAGGGTGAGATTAGCTTCCATTGTGGCATTGGAGCGGAAGACAATGCTGCTGCGATCATATCGACCCGATCGTTGATGCTTGAGATATCGGAGGATTATCAGCGTTACCACGCCCACCAGAACCAGGCCGCCCATGACATAGGCAAACACCTGCAAGAAGGCCAGGTGGAGTTCCAGATTCTTCGAATGGAATCCTACAATTTCCAGCTGCTTCGATAACATGTGAATCTGCGATTCCAGCCGGGATTCCTCGGCGGTGAAGGAGGCATTAACGGCCTCTTGGGATTGGCTGATGCAGGATACGTCTCGGATGTGTGGGGTCTCCTCCAGATTGGTGTCCGGTTCAATATTGAGCAACACGGACTCGGCGAGCGACGGTGGGATGAGCAGGTGATGCAGATAGGAGCAATTGAAGCGGTTCCTCGATACTCCCAACTTCTGAAGTTGAGGAAAAGCTTGGGAAAACGAGTGATTTCCCTGCAGCTCAGTCAGCCCATTGCCGTCGATGAGAAGCTTTCTCAGATTAGTCAGATAGGGCACAAACATATCCAAATCGAGACTAGTGAGGTTGTTAAAAGAAAGGTCCAGTTCCTCCAAGTACTTCTGCTTCGAAAACATGCCAAATTTCAGCTCTCTAATTCCGATTCCCCGCAAGTTTAAGCCCCGCAGTCTCTTAAATTGCGAAAAGGTGCTGACATTAAGGGGACCTATGGGATTATCGGATACATCCAAGTAGAGCATATGTGTGATATTTGTGATATTTGATATGTTGGTCAAGTTGTTGGCGCTCAAGTCCAATGTTTCGATATGCAAACTTTGATGCAGGAAAAGCTGCGAGATTCGGTTGTGGCTGGCGCGAACGAATCGAGTTGCATTTATGGTCAAATTTGTCAGATAATTATTATCCAAGTGCAGCTGATGCACAATGTTCTTCTCTGTCAGCTGGAAGTTTTTCAACTCATTATAGGACAGGACCAGATTCTCCAAGCTCGCCGCATCGGCAAAAGTGTCAGGATGGATAAAAACTAGCCGATTATTGGACAGATTAACCTCCTTGATGCGCCGCATATTGCGAAAAACTTCCGGTTGAATGCTGGACAGCAGATTTCCCTCGATGGACACCTTCTCGAGGTACTCGTTATCCTTAAAGATATCGTTGTGCAGCTCCTTCAGCAGATTGCCCGTTAGGAAAATCTGGCTAATGGTGTGCAGGCCACAGAAGGCATTCACACTCAGCGAGGATATCTCGTTGTAGGACAGATCCAAACGCATCAGGACATTGGCACCAATGAACACAGACGTCTGTATAGAGGTCAGATTGTTGTAGGCCAGATTCAGGTAAGTGAGATTGCTCGCAGCACTAAATGCATTCCTCGTAAGCTCCAAAATGTTCGTATTCGAGACATCCAGGGTCTTGAGATATGGGAATGTCTCGAATAGATGGAAGGGCATATAGAGCAGCGTTGATTCGTAGAACTTCATGAACTTGACCATATTTCCGGGTGGTATGTTCTTGATCACGACATTCTGGCTGTGGGTGACCGTGAATCCGGTGACCGTGCAAAAGGCCTCGTTCACGTCCATAAATCCCATGGAATCGTACTCGTCGCATCGCAGGGGGATGTCTGCCCCATTGCCATCACAACCCGATGTGGCTAGAATAAGGATAAGGATCACTTCGAGTATCCTTCGCGTTTTGTTCATCTTTTTTACGAACCGCTCGCCGCCAATTAACATTGTGCACTGCATCAGTGCAATTTCGCAGACTGACATCCAGCTTCCACTGCATTTGCATTTACATATAATATGGCATTCATTGATTAAAATTTATCTGGCTCCTCCCAAGATTGTCAGCTTTCAGTAGTCCAGCGCAATAGTGATAGCATTTTGTCGGTCTGCACTTTGTTTTGTTTACACTTTTATAATGCACTACATTTTAACGCAATTTCAAGATGGCACCTAATAAATTCTTTTAATTATAGATAAATGTTATAGGACGTAAAATATCAGAAGCTGATTTGCCATAGGCCAGTTATGAAAAACAATTCTTATTTGGCATTCAACCCACGCATCTATTTAAATATTTCAGTAATAACAAGGCTGTGCATACCAATTTTGGGCATACCCATGTTTATCTAGCCTTGTGCTTCTGGTATTCAAGAGCAAAGGTTAAAGTGGTTAGTGAAGTAGAGGGTATTCACAGTTCGTGCTCTCCCAAAAAAGTACCCCTTTAGGAACCTCTACATGTCTGGCTCCATTTCGCTCCAGAGATATAACCTCATATAGGCACGTTTCGATTGTGAATGGCTGGTAAGCTGAGCTTGACTTATTAAGAACTGCTGCTAACTTTAGAGGCTCTGTAATCAGGCGACCCCCTCGAAACTCCATCTCCCCATGCAGTTTATTGACCTTACGAAGCGAGTGGGCACGTAACTGGCGTTTTTGACCGCGTTGCATCAGCCAAGCGGATTAGACTTTGGCCGGAACAAAGGATCGGGAGGACAACATGGCTTGGATTGCATAAATCCCATTGCAGCGGAGGAACGTAACCCTGAAACCGTGCACTCGCAAGCGGATTGGGGCGTGCAATTCCATTTCATTGATTCCTGGCCAACTCTTGGCGCAGGAGGTTACTCATCGGCAATTAGCCGTGTCTGCTGGCATCAATCACATCGGGCTACTGGTCACCTTCGCGGCGACAACTTTTATGGGCTCACCATGCGGACGTGCCCGAAATAATGGATGGGCTTGGACTCGAATTCGGATTCGGATTGGGATTGAAATCGACCTCCGCGGGCGGCGGGCACGTAGCCAAGCGGCCAATTGAGCTACTGAAAGGCCGCTCTGCATTCCCATGCAGGTGGTATAGAATCGTTTTGCCCGATTACCGTGTGTGCCCAGAAATTCAAAAGCATCTACGCGATTTCCAGGAGCTATAAAAGTTGCATGTCGAGCGAATCAACTCATAGTCCAATTTGCCAGCTCAAATCAAACTAAACTAAACCATCATGTTCAAGCTGGTGAGTTGATGGCGTCCACTTGGATGCCAATACCTGGATACCTGTACTTAACTGGCTATCTTCTTACAGTCTGCCCTCGTCGTCCTCTGCGCCCTGGTGGCCTCCTCCGTGGCTGAGCCCAAGCCCGCCATCCTGGCCGCTGCTCCCGCCGGAGTGGTCACCGCCACCAGTTCCCAGTACGTGGCCCGCAACTTCAACGGTGTGGCTGCCGCTCCAGTTGTTGCCGCTGCTTATACCGCTCCCGTTGCCGCCGCCGCCTATACCGCTCCCGTTGCCGCCGCTGCCTATACCGCCCCCATTGCCGCTGCCTACTCCGCCTATCCCTACGCCGCCTACCCATACAGCGCTGCGTACACTACTGTTTTGTAAAAAGGATTAACAAATACGGACTTGAAATGGAATAAAAATAGACCCGACTGGCGATAAAGCAAATCAAACTAAAGCCTAAAGCATTATTCTTGGAAGGGGATTGGTGTTCCTTTTTTAAGTGACACAAGGACACTATTTATTTATAATTTATTTGATTTTATGAGTATTCTACAATTAATTACGCATTTCCAATCCTTTGGGGACAGCAGAAATTCTAATCTAAAAGTAAATCACTTATAGCTATCAGGAAACTGCCAACGCTTGTTACATTTAAAATTATGGGAGTTTTACTGTTTCTAAATTATTTTTTCAATAACCGAATTGTATAGTTAACTACCCATTTCCAATCCTTTGGCGACAGCAGAAGTTCTAATCTAAAAGTAAATCACTTATAGCTATCAGGAAACTGCCAAGACTTGTTACAATTGAAATGATGTGAGTTTTACCTTTTCTGAATCATTTTTTCAATAACCGAATTGTTCTGCCCACTAAAAATGCGGAAATATAACCCGAAAAATACCAATTCAGTGGCGTCATTGTCCATTGATAAATCGCAGATGGCAATGGTGATAGATTTCACAAAATCTATATGTAACCGGCATCTCTCGTAGGAGAATCACGTGTTGGCCATTTAAAAAATGCCGGCTGAAAGTTGCGTCAACCAAATAAATAATTATGCCTGTGCGTGTCTAAAAATATATTTCTGATTCAAAGCGGGCAATAACGAGTAGCTGACAACCATAACAGGGAAAAGGATTCAACAGGAGGGACAACTGGGTCCCTTGAGCAGCTTATGGCCAGTGGGCGGACGATCCCCTAGGCAGCCACTACGTGGACGGGAATGGAGGTGCTGTAGCGTCCGAATGGCAGCCACGCAGCTGGGTAGAACAAAGGATAGTTCGGCGGCGGTGCAGAGCCCACAAGTGGTGGTGGCCCCAGTGGTTGTGGGGGAGCAGCAGCTCCAGCTTCCTGGCGAGGCGGCGGTGGAGCAGCCCGGTGGGCAGGGGGCACTTCGATCTCCTCGGCCGCATCCCGGATCTGACCCGCGGCTGCCAGGTGGATCAGCAGGATTAGTACCACCTGAAATGGCCACCGATGGCGAGGCCTCATCATCTGTGAGCAAGTGCATCGACTTCTCCGCGGACAACCGCTTGAGACTTACTAATTTCCTGTACATAGCAAATCCGAGCTCATAAGATCTGATAGCTCAACGTTCTGAAATCGAAATAAACATTATTGGAGCGACAGAACCCAGCTTTATAAATTTCTGAACCCAACCCGGCAGTTTTTGTGGGTCATTCCAAGACTTGCCAATGGGTGGATCAATATCCAGCGATGTTTTGCTATGCAAAACACGGACTCACATTCGATTTGTTTTTCGCTTTTCGTCACGCTTTTAAAAATACCAAACGAAACCAAAAGTGCAAAGCCATAATGCTCAAGATTCTCCTTGGCTGGCTTCAAAATGGACTTGGAACCGATCTGGGAATAGCTTGTGCATACCAATGGCCAGGCATCACCTTCGCTTCAATGTGGCTTCGAATTTTCTCGGCCAATTCTGCTATATATACCCGGTTGGCTGGGGTCTAGGAGATATCAGTCTAGTACTTGAGAACCAACCGTTCACAACCAACCCAAAACAGCCAACATGTTCAAATACGTAAGGATCGCAGGATAGCTGGACTTCCACCAAGCCACGGATTACTCACAAGGACCTTCCTATCCTTTCAGTTCGCTCTCTGCCTGTTCGCCATCGTGGCTTCTGTGGCTGCCAAGCCGGCGGTGGTTGCTGCCCCACTGGCCTACAGCGCCTACTCCGCTCCCTACGTGGCCGCTTCTCCTTACTCCGCTGCCTACACCGCTGCTTACACCGCTCCAGTGGCCGCCGCCTACTCCGCCTACTCGTACCCCTATGCGTCCGCCTACTCCGCTTACCCCTACGCCGCCTACTACCGCTAACTGGATGAATAGATGTGATCCTAACCTGACTACTGAACTGGACCTCAACACATATACCTATTGCAACAAGGATACGTTCCTGGTAACCACCTACACCATTCCAGCGCTATCTTCCCACATCCCTGGTATTAGTTCGGCAGACTCTACTTTTCCACCTCTGCCGACTGCTGAAAGTTAAGTCATGGGAACAGGACCTACCACATAAAGAAAGGGCATATTTTTGTTGAAATAAATACAGCATTTTGCGTGAAACGTACCACTTCTCAAATTTTTCTTGCACCACTTATTGAACTTTGATGTGCGACAGCTTATATTATCACATACTTTTAGGCAGTGCTCTTCTGTAGTGGGTACAAAGCACTTGGAAAGCTGACAAACGGGTCAATAAATTTGTTACACCACAACATCCACTGAAAATATGTTTTATAAAAGACCTATATTTTATGATATATAATATATTAGTACTGCTCTTCTGCAATGGGTATATATATATTACTACTTGAAAAGCTGACAGAACTGGTCAATAAATTTGTTACACAAAATATCATATATAAAAATGTACAAATATTATATATATACGCAAATATTTCTTATAAAATATTTTCACTGAGTGTTATTTATGTTGTTATCCAGCCTTAAATTCCTTAATTTCCGTGGGATTGAAGGAATCTGTTGCTTTATTTCAGCAGAGTTTAGCCGATAAAGTGCATAAAACCTGCTTTATAGAATATCAACGCAATGTAAATATCAATGGGAAATTTGCATTATCGTTTGTGACTAAAAACGTATTATTTGTTCAATGAAAATAGGAAATGTAAGGCATCTGAGTTTTCCCTGGTGGGATGTCTATGCTTAGGTTGGATTATTAGGGTCAACGAGACCTACGGTTTATTGAACTCGCGATGCTCTGGTTCTGGTGTCCTCAAACTAAACCAAGGGCTCAACTCGATGACGTCCTTCGAAACTGGATAAACCGCTTCTATTTTTATTTGCATCTCTGATTAGAATGCAAAGTGGCGTGTTTGAGTGCCTGACAATTGAAACTTAAAGAGTGAGCCGAGCTCGGGAGATGGCCAAGACGTTGGAATGACACGCACGTCCATCGCCCACAAAACGCACTGAGTGCTAAATTATGATAATTCAATCCGCAAACGACAGCTGCTGACGCCAGTTGCGGAAATGCTTGAGTTGGGCGGGAAAAATGTATTGAAAATAAATTCACTTGGAATGCGTACTACTTGCAGGCATATCGACAAACACAGATCTGCAGTATTCAAATTGTGCTAGTAATTACCAAATGTTTGGCCCTGTTTTAGCCCTGGTACGTGATAGCAATGCTTTAAGCCTGCTGGGTTTTTGCTTTGCGAATGGGCTTTGTCAAGGATGCAGTCGATACCTGCCTATATAAACCACTTTGAGCCCAGCCCAAGACATCAATCAGAAGTCCAACTTCGAAGCTAACACAACCAATTCAATCAAAATGATGAAATTCGTAAGTTGCCATTATTTAAGGATGATTATACAATGTTGCAAAAGTGTTACAAGTCTAAGCAATTACCATCCAACATTCAAACGAAAAGACGTGTATTCCAAGTAAAAATATTGTTAAAAAGAGTAGTAATATTTTTCAGATTTAACAAACTATTTATTGTATTTATAAATATGTATTTTTATGTTCTGTTTGCCTGAATTTCTTCCTGCAGTTTGCCGTTGTCCTGTGCGCCCTGTTCGCCGCCGCTGCTGCCAATCCCGGCCTGCTGGCCTACAACGCCCCCCTGGCATACTCCACCCCCCTGGCATACTCCACCCCCCTGGCCTACAGCTCCCTGCCAGCCGCCGCCTACACCTCCGCCTACGCCCCCTACGTGGCGCCCTATGCCAGCAGCTACAGTGCCCACAGTGTGGCCCACAGCGCCGCCCTGCCCGCCGTTTATGCCGCCGCCCCTGTGGCCACCATCCTCAAGAAGTGAGATGTCCCAGGATGCCGCACGTGTCCAGTAGAAGATACAGATACAAACAGAGATGGAGATACTTGCTCGCAGGCAAGCAGAAATTAAACGCAATGCATCAGGCCCACGCACTGACCGACTAAGCACTGAATCGAGTTTTATTCCTTCCGTTTGGTTTTAGTCTTGCCGTGGGCAAAGGGAATTTTCTTCCTTCAAAGGAAGCAGATAAGGCAGGTTGCTCTTTGGAAACCGTGCCTTGTTTCAAGAATTTCGTAGTGTATAGAGATATAAATACATTGCATTAGGTATGGTTTTAGCTTGTGATATCACAAAGAATTAGAAGTTACATTTAATTGAAATAGTTTTCACTACTGCCGAGTACTGCGAGATTGATCTTATAACTATGCCAAAGGTCGCAAGGCCACTTTAAAGCCTCCTGATTTAACCAGACCACTATTTTCATTAGACAGCTCCCATATGGCAGGGCACTCTGTCAAAGGGTGCACCCAACTCCAGGCTGATTGCGCACCCATTCCGGTTCATCGACACTTCGCCACGTTGCAGGACGCAATCCTTGAGCTTTGTTTACCCAGTTCGCACCCCATTATCCGATATTCCCTTGACCCCTCGTGGTTTATATGGCCAGCTCGCGGCATTGTTTATCACTTCGACTGCAAGTTGCGTGTGTGAGCTTAGAGGTCATTGCATTTCCGCCGCCACTGCGACTTTGGGACTCGGGGATTGAAAGGCGCCGCTTAAATTGCATTTTGCTAATCACCCGCCATCGATAAGTTGAACGAAGCCACGCCTCAATCGAAACCACCACGCCAACTGTGGCATTAATCATACGCCGCGTGCAACCGTCGGAAATTTGAAAATCAAATCAAGAGAACGCCATTAACTAAGAAACTACACTTTGCAAATTAATTCAAGTCTTTGAGTTGTGATTCTGAATTGCCCTCTTTGTTTTCAACGCCTTCAACACGCCCCCCTGAAAAGCAGAATACGCCTCCTTCTGCACGTGCAGTTGCACTTCTTGCAGCTAATTTACTTGTTTGTGGCTGCAGTCGGAAAATTAAATTAAAATTTAACGCTGCCTTTTGTCTCGACGGTCACGCCCCATTAATAAGCTGCCCCTCGCGAGGCGGCGACTTATAATTGCCGAAGCCCCAGAAATTGCACTTAAACGTTCCGTTTCCCAGGCTGCAGTTGGGGGAACTCTCTGAAGGAGTTGGTTGGATGGGGTTAAGTTAAATATTGTTAAAGAGCCTAGTTTACTGTTTAAGTGCCGTATTTTAGTTAACTGCTGGCTTGGAAGTTCCGATTTCAATGCTGTTCTATTGTAAAGCTCAGTTATGTTGCTATAAGTCGTATAACATACTGTAATTTACTATAATCCGTTTTCTAATTATTTAGATACACGACTATTGTGTTGATGGAACTGAGTCGTAGCTGCAGCGTATCTCTATGTAATCTAGCTAGCACTGGAGGATCTCCGAATTGAATATGTTATCCAGCCTACCTCCAATTAACAGTACGCATATCCACTTGGCCAGCTGGGGGCTTCTAGGCCTATGGGCTATAATTACCCCCCGTTGTTGAGCCGATTACAACAATCTTGTCTAATTGACAGTTGTACACTGTCATTCGAGAGCACTGGAGCGATAATGGCGGGCTGCGTCGATTAGAACTTGCTGCGATCAATTTGCGGAGACATCAATAAAGAGCAAAACCCGATTTAGGGGCGCTCGCATTTCAGCTGTGCTGGCCAATAAATTGCGTTTTGATTTAATCGCTGTGTTGCACAAGTGCCACCAAATTAATTGCCAGCGATTTTTCGCACTGTGTAGATAGCAGCGCGGCACCAACGGCGCACTGAGCCGGATCTCAGGAGGCTCTTAATTGAAATGCTTGGCTGCTGTGATTTACAGCCCAAAAGTGCAAATCGGGCGGAGAACTTCGGCTGGACGGGACTACCATCGCCATCGGAATCGCCCACACGGCGTATGCGTATGCAAATCCCCTTCGAGTTACGCATTGGGAACATGGCTGTTGCCCTGCTCCCCTTTTCCCCCTCCTGGCCACCTTGTATTGTCAACTGCTTTTTGCCTTTCCAATGCCCGCAGGCTTTTTCTGGACTGAGCTAAGCCTTCTGCTTAACCCTTATGTTGTGACTGGGTGCTAACTGACCCCTTCTCTTTCTGCAAGGCGCCACATTTTTCAAACACGTTTGCTTCGACATATATTCTATTAAGATTAATGTTTCTATTAAAATAAAATTATATATTCCTTTGGAGATTTTTCTCTGCTGATCATGTGCAAATCCACTAATTCGTTTTCAGTCACCTAACATTTTGCACTGAGCATTATTAACTGGTGCAGAAGGTGTTAAGTGCACGCAGGCACTTTTGGTGCAGGGCGGGGATTTCAGCAAGTGCTGGACTGGGTCCCCAATCCTTCCCCCTACTGCCCCCTTTTCAGCCACGCCCCTCTCATAAGTGTTAAGTGCTTTGAGCTTGCGTAAAGCGCCGTCTGGAAATTATGCACCGAGTGGGTCGCCGGCAATTACGTGGCAGCCGCAGTTCCTTCGGCATTGTTGCAGCAGTTGCATGAGTTATGGGTGCACTGGTTCGTAAGTTACCACCGCCAGAGGCGTAGCTTGGCCCAGGATCCCCTCCCGATCCACGAGAGGAACGACCTTGCCCACGCCCCTGTCTGCGATCGGTTATTGTTCTGAACGCGCACTGCATTTGCCCCACATACAACGATCTCGAGGCGGATCTGGATCTGGTTTTGCTGCGGTTTTACGCACAGGTGTGTACTGCCACGCCCCTTTCATTGCCGGTCGCTGTTGTAATTAAGACTTTGGCTCCAAATGCTCGAGCATTTACTGCGAAAATTTCTACAGCGAAATAGCCTCACGCATTTAAATGAATTTAAACGGCGGAATGAGCCAAACTTGTTGCCTGCGTGGAAATAAATGCATACAAGAACCCAAAAGGCCACATACAAAATGCAATTTAAGTTTTTCTCACGCACACCTTGTTGCGGCGTCGGCAGAGGGTAAATAGACCAAAAACAAATTTATCAGAAATTATTCAAAATCAAAACAAAAATTGTCGCCGCGTTGATCGATGCCGAAATACCCTTTACTAGAGAAAATTATAAACATCGAGTATTTAATAACTAATCATGTGATGGATTTTTTATAAATATAATAAACCTATTACTGTAAATGAAAATAGTTATATTGCATCACTGTGAATGGCAGAAGTCATAAGGATGTCAGCTTATCATGTAAGATGGAGTTTCCCAATGGGGCACTAATTACTCCTAACTTCAAAGACGTTTATATGATAATTATTTTCAGTGGAAAATAAATGCTATATTTAATAGGTGACCTCCTTCTTCATTTCGATTTGTGGCAATAACGCACCGAAAGGGTATGGCCAAATCCCAGCCCAGGCCCACATCCGCGTTGCTGGGGCGGGGCAAGGTGGTGCTCCAATAGTGCTCCGGTGGGTCCCAGGCCTCCATCGCCATCTCGATACCCGACAGGCCAGCTTTGCATGTGGCTCTCTTGGACTCGGTTTTGGGCAAAGCCTATGTCTCTCGATTGAACAAAAGTAAAAGTCTCTGGGCCGCCACTTTGGATCCGTTCTCGTGCTGCATTTTGGCCAGGGGTTTGGGCTATAAAAGCATTTGTGCCTTGGTCCGGAGCATTATTCAGCTTTGTGTTCTTGCTACGAGTTCAACTTGCAACCAAACCCAAAATGTTCAAATACGTAAGTGCAGCTGAACGTTGAAAAGTCCTCCATTTGCATCTCATTTTTCCCACTAACTAGTTCGTTTTTGCCGCCTTCTGCCTGGCCAACGCTGCTGCCGCTCCTGGCTACTTGGGAGGACTAGCTGCTCCGGCCTTGCCGTTGGCTGCAGCTGCTCCGGCCATTTCCTACGGACACGCCTTGGCCGCTCCCTCGATTGCTTCCTACGGATTGGCCCCCAGGCTCAGCTATGCCGCCCCGGCCTTGGCGCACGCTCCTCTGGCGGCTCCGGCCATTTCCGCCTACGGATTAGGATATGGCCCTGGACCCATTGGCCTGGCTCATGCTCCTTTGGGACTGGCTCACGCTCCTCTGGCCGCTCCCTTGGGACTGGGCTACAAGTCGGCCTATCCAGCTCTGGGTGCTCCTCTGGGACTGGGCTATAAGACGGCTTTGGCTGCTCCTGCCTATGGACTCGCTCATGGATGGTAAGGGAGCTCCATCCCACACAGCATCGTTTTCCGCATGTATTTCGTTTTGTTTGGATCGGTCAGAGAAGAGGTGTAAATACACAGAAAAAAGAGAGAGAATCAGTGAAGGTTTTGTGAAGTGAAATCAGATTATCAAAAAACCGATTGTGGAGAGTGGAAATATATTTCGTTTGAATTTAAAAAATATGCACAACCTACGTATTTTATTTGACCAAGGGTTAAGGGAAATATGAAAAAACTTGCTGACAATTTATAGCTTTTTTATGTAATCGGATGTTCCTCAAAGTAGAGTCATTTTGAATGGAAACGAATGTCCATTAATCCAGTATATCAAAATTGTAATATTGTTACTCGAAAACAATTTTGTATCAAGAGTATGTTTTCTTAACTATTTCTTAAAAATTTCTATAAACTATGAGGAAATTCTAAATTTGTCTTACAGAACCGTGAGAGAGTAGACCCAGTTAAAAAAATGTTATTTTTTGTACATTTGTTGCTTGTCTTTATTGATTTACTGACTTGCTGAGTGACTGACTGATTAAGATTTGGGTACTGCGAAGTATATGACTTGATAGAAAACTCTCACATGTTGCACGCCCGTCTCGGCTCCACTTGATTAGACTTTACTTGACTTGGGGGCACCTCTACCAACCATGGCCATAGCCATATCCCAGTCCGTATCCGAGACCCAGACCGTGTCCGCCGTACAGTCCATGACCGTAGCCTCCGAGGTATCCGTGACCCAGGCCATAGCCATAGCCGCCCAAGTAGCTTTTGCCGATGATCGTCTTGGAGATGATCGGTGCATGGTAGCCCAATCCCAGACCCAGGCCTCCATAGTGGCCGCCATAGCCGTGGCCATAGAGTCCTCCGTAGTGCCCGATTCCTAGACCCAATCCCAGGCCATATCCACCGTAGCCATGACCAAATCCGATTCCAATGCTGGGCGATGGAGAGGGAGCAGGAGCAGGAGCAGGAGCTGGTTCTGGAGCGGGTTCAGGAGCAGGAGCTGCCAGGATGGAGGTCGTCAAGCAGGCGATGGTAATGAGTAACAGCTATACGTGAAAAAAAGACAAATGTTATTCAAATGGCTTAAGCAACGAATCTGCCAATATTTATATCAAAAGAATTATCCTTCGATATGGTGGAACAACTTACTCCTTTCATCTTGTTGTGGTAATTTTCCGGCTGCTTCTGTGGAGGCTTAACCAATTGTGTTGCTGCAGTTGATCCCAGCAGGCCGCTTTTATACCAAATCCCAGTCCAGTGGATTGCATCCCCACATGGACATCGGTGATCTAATGAGCAGTGCCACAACGTAAATCTAATTCGCCTGACAAGTTGCCCAACTTAGCGGCGTGCCACAAAACCATCCGTGGTTGCAGTAAATAAAAAGAAAATCCAACACCTGTTTTTAGCCTTTTGGGCCAGCATTGTATAATGTGCAATCGAGTTTGGCATTTACCAGTCCACAATGGTTCCAGTTCCAGTTTTTATTGGGCCTGTGGGCATTTTAAGTCTGGTGGGTGGCCTTTTCCTTCGTTCCATTCATGTGATTCCGGTTGGATCACTGATCTGATTAAGAACAGCGATCTTAGCTTCGGGTCAATGGTCTGTAGAGTGCTATTCAGCTTCATTCGTAGATTTAATTTTAATAAATTAGCAAATCTATTTTCTACCATACTATAACATACTATCATAAGTATATCTCAATCAAAATTTGGATGTGGCAGACTGGCCAACTTCTTTATACGGAGTGCAGTGGTGTTAAACTTAACACAACGCTTATAACAGCTTAAGCATACAGCTAAGCTGAGATTCAAACTAATCAATTCTTAACTCCTCCAAAGCCCCATAAAATAGCTCCAAAAACACCAGATTAGGCAATGATTAAATTGAAAAGAGGCATCAAAACGGGTAAACAAAGGCAAATTCGAAGACGTGTGACCAACTAACGCACAACCCAAAAACAAACAAAAAGCCGAGAAATGTAAGACAACAAAATCAGCGATATGCCATAATTAAGTGCACAAAAGAGTCACTGACTCTTTGATAATCTTCGGCGTTAACGCTTTAAACTTGAACTTGAAAACAGGTTTCTCGAAGAGAAGGGGACAAGAGGCCAAGTGGAGTGGTGCTCCCACTACATGGATGTTGCAACAGGTTCCAGGTGGCAAGGGAAATGCAGTTGGTGATACCAGGGGATTGCCAACCGGTTCCCCTAACTGTTTAAAAGCGGAATGAAGACGATGAAGACGAGCCTATAAATTGATTGGCCTTCGGCTGCATTCAGCTTAGTCCGAGTGCAGTTCTGACCACAATACCACCAGAGAATGCTCAAGGTAAACAGGATAGATTCCCAGTGCCCCTTAAGAAGCTCTATCTTTCATCTGATTCTAGCTTTACGTGCTGTTTGCCCTTCTCAGTGGTGGCCTGGCCGCCACGGTTATCTACCATCACCCGGTGATCTATCATCATCCTCTGCCGGTTGCCTCCACGCCCCAGGAGTTGGCCCACCATCCTGGCTACACCATTGTTGCACCTCTTACCAAGATTGCCCACGTCACCTACGACTCGGTGCCCATTTCGCATACGCCCTACGAGCATGTTCCGCTGTTCCAGAGGATTGGTCACGTCAAAAACATTAGGTTCTAACGAAATACTTTAATTTATAGAAACCATTCACATGGTTTTATAGGCATCATATATTAGCCGCTAATGGTGTTCGACTTTTAAGAGCATTATTAATTTGAAATATGATTTTGGGTGGTATTACCCAAGGCAGCTATGATAGGAAATACCACTAAAGACTACACAATAAACTCAAAAAAACACGTTTGTAAATTTGATTAATGGATAATTGTTTATTCGCCAAGCATTGCTGCTCTCTAGGATATTAAGATTTGGGCTAGTGTCTACAATCTAATAGGACGGATGGGAGGGGTTGGCTGGGTGATGCTGCTAAATCCTTAGAAGAAGTAGGGGGCGGGAGCGAACTTGGGTGCCACAGCCAGAGGCGCCGGGACTGGAGCAGCCAGGGGAGCGGCGAAGGGTCCGAATCCGAACCTGGCTGGTGCGGCAAAGGCAACGGGCGCCGGGGCAGGGGCGAAACCCAGCGGAGCAGCCACTGGAGCGGGAGCGGGAGCGGCGAAGGCAACCTTGGCGGGAGCGGCAAAGGCCAGCGGAGCAGGAGCAGCAGCCACAGGCAGAGGAGCAGGAGCGGCAAAGGCCACTGGAGCGGGAGCAGCTACAGGAACGGGCAGGGGAGCGGGAACGGGAGCTGCAAAGGCCACTGGAGCTGGGACAGGAGCCACTGGGTAGGCCACGGCGTGGTTGATGCGGTGAGCATTGAAGCTGGAGGCATAGGGAGCCACCACGCCGGCAGTGGCCACAGGAGCAGCCAGGGGAGCAGCGAAGGCAGGAGCAAGTGGAGCAGCTAGAGGAGCAGGCGCATGGAAGGGCAGGACACCAGCCTGAGCAGAGGCCACGCAGAGGGCAACGAGCTGTAAATGAAGGTATATTTATAATCCACTTCGACAGATCCGGACGTCCTTGCCACTCACCACAATCTTGGCGAACATTTTCTGGGATTGGGGATGGTTGGCTAGGTGTGATTAGCTGGAAGGCAGACTGAACTGTGATATCCAATTGTCCACTGGGTGACGCTTTTATAATTCTGTAGCCCGCGGAATATCCATGGACAAGCATACGAAAACACCTTGGAAGACTTTCTATATTGGGCGCTGATGAAGGGCGTTGCTGGATCGGTCTGATACTCGTATATGTACTTAATAATCAATCGGTAGCCTCTTACGTCGATCGCCCCCGAAAACTTTCATAATTGGACGCCATTCCCGACCATAACCTAGGCCAATGTTGGGCAAGATTTCGTTTTGGTTTTGGTCGGGTTTATGACAGTTGGGGCTTCGGATATTTTCGGATATTTCGGTGGGTGGTGCTTTTGAAATGAGCTGCAATTATTTAACCAGAGTACGTGTTACTTGGCCCAATCATTTAATTGAATTACCACTTTTTCGTACGCCCGCTTTTTGTTTTTTGTTGCAACAATTGTCGCGTGTTTGGGCCGGGTTGTGTCTGGAATTTCTGATTTAATTTCTTGTTGCGTGCAGTTCGAAATCCACAAACAACATTTCTGCAGCCGAAAGAGTGTGTATGTGTTGCCAGTGGCTTGTGTGTATGTGTGGGCCAAATAAATGAAACCCCATTTGGCGACATTACGGGGCGTCTGGTTCGTAATGAGAGTCTGAATCAGATAGCGAATATGTTTCCTTTTGCTAATTTTTGGCGTGCCTATGATTTTATCATCCGTACTTACATTCACTGGTATTTCTATTTTTGGAAATAATTGGTAAGAATGTGAGGGGATATTCCATATATGTTGCTCTATTCTTGTGGTTCTTCATGGTTGAATTCGACTGTTAAAAAACCCTTAAGCTGAATAACTATGTATCCTATAAATACGATTTATAACAAATTATTGTAAAAGGCGTGTGTTTTCTATTTTCGTTTTATTTGACTATATATACTCGATAAATTATGGTGTAATGCAGGTATACTTGTAGATTAACGCTTTACATTTCCTAGCTGACTTTAATGACTCTTTGGTGAGGTTTCCATCATCCCTGAGGTGGGAATGACTACCACAGCGAGTGGTGATGGTGATGAGCGAACTTCAGGGGCAGGGCTTTCAGATGGGCGTGGGGGGCGGCCAGCAGCTTGGGGAAGGCGTAGCCAATGGACACGCGGTGGGTGGTAGTCTTCGGTCCGGGAATGGCACGATAGGTGGGTGCAAAGGGAACCGCCTCCAGGACGGGTGGCAGCACTTGATGGGTGACACTCGGCACATGAAACTCTGGCAAAAATGCAGGAGCTGGTAGAAGTGGCGCAGGAAGTGGAGATGGTAGAAGTGGAGCGGGAGCTGGCAGAAGTGGAGCTGGAGCTGGTAAAAGTGGTGCAGGAGCGGGCAAAAATGGTGCAGGAGCGGGCAGAAGTGGTGCAGGAGCCGGTAAAAGTGGAGCTGGAGCAAATACAGGTTGAGGTGGAGCATATACAGGAGCAGGGGGTGCAGGTCCATAAACCGGAGGTGGAGGAGCAAATACTGGTGGTGCAGGAGCAAATGCTGGTGGCGGAGCCACCGCAGGCAGCAAAGGAGCTGGCGGAGGAAGAACCGATTCGTGCACCGCGTAATCCAAGTGGCTCGGCAGAGCATGCAGAGAATCCAAGTGGCTCAGATGATGTCCGTCAAAATGGTTCACGTGGTGAGGATCAAAGTGATTGTAGTGTAGATGAGAGGGCTTTGCATCACCACCCAGCAGCAGGAAAGCCAAGGCAAACGTCTAAAAGTATATGTATATTTCATAATTAATACCCCTTACAAACGAGACCCTAAGGAGTGATCCTTACCCATGTCAGTTGCCACATCGTACTTGGGGGACTTGAAGATCGATTTCCTTGGGGAAGTAGTTTCTGGATCGATGTGCTCGACCTGTTGGTTCGGCTGTTAATGTCGTGCCATTGTCAAATTCAATTAATATTTATAGCGAATTGAAGGCGGTCCGCAATCAAAAGGCTTGCACTTGCATTTCTTCACTTTCGACGACGACTTGGCCCACTCACCCAACCTAATGGATTGCCTCAGTTGAGGTGAGGTAACCCAATCCCATTTAGTTGGTCAGCAAGTCGTGACTGTGCCTACAACTGGCACTGCCTTCGATCGAGGGGCCAATAACTTCTTGGGCGATTCGAAAGCACGGCCCATGATTATATAACATGGGTCCAACCAAGCCCAGGCATTGACAGTTGCCCATAAGTGGCATATGATTATGATAACCCATAAATATTGCTTTGACCATAAATAACAATCGATATTGCGCCTTAGGTGACAACGCAATCACAACAAATATTTTTCACATGGTGACTAAGTTGTCTGACTTGAACTTCGCTAAGTCAAATTAATGTTTTATGCAGCTATTAGAAAAAAACTCCATTTAAAATCCACTTAAATGTAGTCCGTTAATATATGCACAATTTGATTTAAATTTAATCTGATTTTTACCAGAAAAATATTTTATCAGTCACATCCGACTTTTGAAATATGAAATGAAAACTTCTAAAATTTCTAGAGGATTTCAAAAACTTCCTATTTTCGAAATCCGAAAATGAATAGATTTTTGATTAAGCAAATGGCACAAAAATTGATCTTAACTTTTAGTTATTTATATTTTTTAAGAATCGAATATTGCTGACCATATGCAATTTTATTGAACACTCACTGAACTGCTCAGTGACCAAATTAATCAAAAAATTAGTAATAAGACGGTGCGCTCTAATTGTTTGTTCGTAATTTATTGTCAAGTTTGCTTACAGAAATTGTCTACAGTTTGGCCCGCTTCACAGGTGTGTCCTTAGACCACCACTGGAGCTGGTGCAGCAGCGGCGATGGGAGCGGCATAGGAGGCAGCGTAGGGTGCGGCGTAGGGAGCGGCGTAGGGAGATGCCAGATAGGGGGCGGCGTAGGGCGAGGCATAGGGATAGGCGGAGTAGGCGGCGGCGGCATAGGGAGCAGCGGCCAGAGGAGCAGCTACGGGAGCAGCGGCAAGGGGAGCAGCTACGGGAGCAGCGGCCAGAGGAGCAGCCACGGGAGCAGCCAGAGGAGCAGAGTAGGCGGCGGCTAGAGGAGCAGCAGCGTACTTGGCCACCACGGCGGGGGCGGCTGGGATTCCGGACACATAGCGGCTGGAGTAGGGGCCGGCGAACTCGAACGGAGCGGTGGTGTAGGAGGACAGGGTGCCGTCGTAGTTGTTGCGGACATCCACCTGGCTGCTGCCACCTGCGGCGTACAGAGGAGCATTGGCGTAGGCCAGAGGAGCGGCTAGAGGAGCGGCCAGAGGAGCAGCCAGAGGAGCTACGACTCCTGGTTTGGCCGCAGCGCAGGCGATGAGGGCAGCGAGAACCAACTGGAAGATAGGATGGGTAATCATTATCCGGCACTTAGTCCACCTGTTTGGGCGATAATCCCCATAGGATCACTTACAAACTTGTACATATTGCTGTGGTTGGGTTTGTCTAAAGCTCTTGAGCGATAATGTTCACTTGGAGCCAGTCCAGTTGCTTATATAGCTCGTGCCCATATCCGTGCTCTTTGGGGGACATTCTGTCTGAGCCGATTTTTGGTCGCTTCTTCTTTAGCTGGCCCAGTCGGTCGAGTGCCCAGCAGCATACATGATCGCCATTTGGCCACGACGTGATCCGCCTTCAATTGCCTAATGGACTGTCGGAAGTTGTCCAAGTTGTCGCTTGGATATTTCGGCTGCACTTGGAAAAATTGTTGGACTTGGGTACATACTATAAGAAAGGATATGCTGATCTAAATAAATGATGAACCAAATATTTCATTAATGTAAAATCCTATAAAGGCTAATTAAAATGTCCAAAGTTATATCATTGCCTATGTTTTTTTTTAAGTGCAGTGATCGATATTTGTATGCAATTGAAGACCGCCTCGGTGGCCGGGCTGTCTTGGCGTAATTTGCAGTCAGTTTGGGCCATCAACATGCGCTGCTTCGCATTGAATTGGCCGCAATCTAAGCCAAATTGGCCATAAAAATGGTACCCCCTCCCTAGGCCACGATTCCGCCCCACTCAGTGTCTCATTAGTTCACTTTTTAATGGCTCACAGAGTCGCCAATAAAAAAGAGTCGTAAATTTGCCTCTCATCCTTGCCGCCGGTTCTTCATTTGTCTTCGTGTTGACATGACCTTGACGCCATCTGGCCACAGGATGTGATGCAGCCTCATCCTCGTCCAGTGGCCCAATCACTTCGGGCCAGCTTAATTGGCCAACCAGGTGCGGGCCGAATGATCGAGCAGTCGAAACCGGCTTGCGGACTTAATGAGCCATCGCAGCTCTCCCGGTCACGTGCTGGCCTGGCCAGCAGCATCGACGTCATCTGATGGCTGGGTGTCTCAGATTTGCATTGTTTTACTCTCGCTGGTGGGGTACCTTTGCTACTTATCAGCTCTTGCAAACAACAATTATGATTATGGAATATCTGGTAGAATGCTTTAGATTTTATCTAACTGAACTCTTGTTTGTATACAGAACTTTCGGATGTTATATTTATTAAATATGATATTTTTAAAAGGCTTACAGCTTGAACAGAGCATCTGAATGGTCGTTGTTTTATTGCCGTTTCTGGAATCCGATCCGGTGATGACGCCGATCTCAAGGTTGTCGCGATGACGAGTCGAGAGTGCGATATATAGTATACATAAGTGATGTCTGGTGATCGAGTTGCCCCACGCATGTAACTGTATACTTTCCTTATATTCTGAATAATGTATCCGCATCGGTACCACTTTTGATCGGAGTGATCCAATCTTGGCAGGCAGCACAGCTGGTACAGTCCAACTCCAAGGGTGACCTCTCGTTCACTTGTTAATACAGTTTCTGGACTGGAATTTTCGACCGATGACGCACCAATTTTCCGGTGACTTAAGCACGGAAATAAGTACATCTTTAACCATCTTCATCGCCATCACCATCAACTTCTTGTGTTCAGCACTCCACTTCACAGCTGTGCGATCCGCTCACTTCCTAGTTAACCTTTTTAATTTGATTGCCAACTGATTCAGAGGCTCCTCAGACTCTTCATCCCACTTAGGAATTATTTGACTGTCGTCAGTAGCGTTTGCTTTAATTGATTTTTAAGCCCCAAATTTATGCAGATCACATTTCCAATTCCTGTTTTTGTTTTAGCGGGAAAGCAGGTTCTTTATCGCTGGCATGCCATATATATATAGATATATAGATCCAGATTGCAGTTCCGTTCCCAGATCTGATCAATGACACTTGACTTTAATTGGCTTTCATAAATATACGTCAAAAGTTAGTCGTTGTCTCGATTTCTGTTGTTTTCACAAGAGAATTCCGAATGCCAATGCCAAGCTTGAGGTCTCATTATGAGGCACGGATGATGGAGATCTCTTGGCCCGATTTGTGTGTATGTAAATAGCAACCATCAACCCATCAGAGGAGAGTGAAAGGTGTAAATCCAATGGACGAAGACCTCTTTTTTGTGCCCGCGTCTCAACCTTCAAAACATTATGCAAATGCAGTCTCCATCGATGGCAATGAGACTAAAAATGGCCAATAAAAAGAGACTCAACCGAAAGGCTAAGCTTAGATGGCAAGTTTATTATCAATGTATATTCACTAAGAGCAGAAGTCATCGCAGTTTGATGATCAGTCGGGATGGCTCTGGCACTATTAAATTTATTGCTATTCTATGGGCACTGATTGCTGGACTAGCGCCTCTGGATCTGCGGTGTTCCATACGAAGTTAGCCCAGTAGTTCTGGGCACACTGGCATATGGAGCCCCAGCCTGCAGCGGCAGTTGCGCCACATTCAGAGGAGCAATGCCAAAGGGCACTGGCAGCTTAAGATTCAGGGAGTTGGCATCCACGGATGAGGAGGATATGGAGCGCCCAGTGGCTGATCCCGCACCAGCTGAGGCCCTAGCCAACTGCTGGGGCTGTGCAGCCGAGGGAGCCACCTGGAGGCCGGACGAGGGTGCTCCAAATACGTAACCCTGGCTGGTCAGTGCCTGGGTGAAGGCGGCGTGCTCCAAGGCGGGCTCGGCAAACTGACGGGCCACTTGCGTATACTGCTGAGGCTGTTGGTACTGGTTCCTCTGGCCTCGCTGCACTGCTGGTCTGTTGGGAGCGGGATAGCGGTAGTACCCCAGCTGTGCGCTAGGTGCAATCGAGAAGTCCAGGTGGGAGACATCGGCCAGAGCCAAGCTCAAGAGTTGCAGCAGAGCAATCCACACACAAGTCAACTGAAAGTGTTTTGATACGGTTAAATAGCTTGATGGCTTTTCACAAACTAGATATTGCTCTCACATTGGCCGCCATTTCACTTCACTTTCTTTGCGTTCCAGTTCTTGAGATATATGTGGTTTAAAGGTCAATCTTTTCGCCGGATCTTATAATCGATATGGTCGATGTGCGCTGGCGCGGCTTTGGCAGCTGATTAAAATTTGTGAGCCAGCTGAAGATGCTTTTTATATGCGTATGGTGGAGCTGCGATCGGTTCTCAGAGCTCTCTCGCTCTCTCCCACTCTTTTCAGGTCTTCTTTTGGCTCTTTGTGAACGGCTTTGAGCCAACACTTGAGTGCAGGCCAAGACGAAGCTTTTTGGCATTTTGCTGCCTTTGTTTGTTTACTTTGTTTGTTTCTGATGGCTTAACAAAGCGGTTGCCGGGCAGTTTCGTCTATTGATAATATTGATATTTGGCTGCCTTGCATATAAATCAGTGTTGGTCATTTTTATTGGCATCCGAACTATGCAACTACACAAATTAGCAGGGGCCCTATGGTCAAAACCAGGGGGGGAAATCGGTGATTGGGTCTTGCAAAAACCCCCACCAACCCACCACTGTTCTCAGCTTTTCTGCATACCTCAGCCATGTCGACAGCATTTGAGCTTATTAAACACAAGCCGAGTCGAGCGTCATGTGACAGGAGCCAGAATCGCCGCACAAACATAAAAGCCATTAGCCCGGCCAAAACGGAGGACTTTGGCGGATCGGTGCGAGATTTGCATGCTAAGCACCCGATTGTTGTCCGTATCTCGGCGTTTGATTGCCGCTCTTTCGGCGGGTTGACCTCAGATGGTGGAACTAAATCGCGATCGATGCGCATCCAAATTTAGTCGCACTGAAAAAAAACTGGAGTATCCAAACTATCCAAATTTATTTTTAATAGAAACGTACTATTGTTATACCCGTTTCCGACTCTTTAAAGTATATATATTTTTTATCAGGACCACTAACCGGGTCGATCGGGCGATGTCCGTATGAACGCACCTTAAAAGCTAGAAAGTTGAGAAAAGCCTGCCGATTGTAGTAACTTGTTTGTTTCAAAGTGCAAGCCACATTTTCCATAAATTTGCAAAAATTATTCTATCCGAAAACAAATGTTAAAATGTCCACTATCTGAGTAAAGGGTATTTGATAGGCGAGGATCTCGAGTATAGCATCACCTCTTGCGCTGCGTCTATGTCTCTGTTACATACTTTTTAACGAATCCAGTATACCCTTCTACTCTACGAGTAACGGGTATAAAAATCAAAAGTGGACAAATACAATTCCGTCTCCTTTAACATTAAATCCAAATGTTAAACCGCCACCCCCATATATTAGTATTCAATCTTAAATACGGAAATGGACAATTAACTTGATTTATTTGTTTAATACCAATATTTGTAGTGTAATCAGCTGTTTATCTATAAACTTGAAAACTCCTAAAAGGTTAAGCTGTTGACCCAATTAACAGATAGCTCCGCTATTTTCCTGTTTCATTCATTGACTTAGGTCAGTTGGTCCAAAGTCGTAGCTTTAGCGGCAAATTTATATTATTTATGCATTTTTCTGGCCCTCTCAAAGTCAAGCCTCGCCTTTGGCCAAAATTGGCTGAGCCAAAAAATAACTTCCAGCCATAAAAAGATGTGAATTATTTATGGGTATTGACATAAGCATAATTTAATCGCTACGCCTCGCGTTCTTCGCATAAATTCACGAGCCGCGTATAATACAAAACATAACAACATTATTTAGATTTAATTAATTGCTAATTTGAGGAAATTATCATTCATAGTTATGCACAATAAGCCGGAGCCCATCTGGGGCTTCTCGAGTTACCAGCCCGGAGTGCCAAACGCTGCAGGTGGGGGAGCTCCATAGACAGCGGCCGGAGAATGATGAGGTGGTGACCCAAAGTGGAGCTTGTACCTGCCGTAGGAGGGGGCAGCAGCTGCAAACTGGTAGCCTATGGGTGGAGGTGCAAATCGGGCTATAAACTGCGGTGGCGGTGCAGCTGCTGCTGCATAATGCACCGGCGGCGGTGGTGCCGCAAATCCGGTGTAGGTGGTGGTGGTGGTGGTCACTGGAGCTCCCAGGGAGTACTTAATAACTGGCTGTGGTGCCGCATAGGATGTTGCATATTTAAAGATCGCCGGAGGTGCTGGACCATAATGATCTACAGCTCCGTAGGCAAGTCCTTGATGCGCACTAAAGGCCGCCGGCACCGTCACAGTGTCGGAAACGGGTACAGCTACTGGAGCAGGTACCGCGACTGGAGCAGGAACCGGGTACGGAGAAGGCACCGGCACAGGCACTGGAACCGGAACTCCCACGGGAACGCCCACCGCCGATGGTTCATGGAGGAAACTTCCGAGGGCCGGAGCACCGAGACACATCAGAACACATATCGAAGATATCTGCTTAAAAATAGAACTATTATTTGTCAGTTAAAACTCACTTTCAATTCACTTGCTTTTAAAATATTTAACATTTTCTCCCGTTATGCTGTCCTCCGTTTTCGATTTCCGTATTAAGTCACTTCTCCTCGACACTTTCACGCGTAATGAATCGATTTTGGCTGACCACCGCAGGTTTATAAGTGCCACGGTCCGAGTTGCGTCGCTCGCATTATGCTGAGTAGGAGGGGTCTGGAAACCAGAGGAGCCGAAAGGTAAAAACTCCATTAAGGGATCTGCGCACGACGTGCAATCGACAAGCGAATCGTGCGGCAAATGCATGCGACAAGTTTTGCAATGCCCCATCCTCAGGGGAAATTCGGATGGAGTACGAATCAGAGTCGGTGGTCAAAACTTCAAATGGGGTAATTAAGTCGGGTACACAGCCACACCAGCTACGAATATTTGCAAACAGTCTTAAGAACAAGTTTTCGCTCTAGAAATATCAATGCTTTTGTGACTAGCACTACTTTTAATTAATGTGTAACAGTAATCGCTTTAGAATTCATTGTCCAATCTTATTTGGTGGTCAATCAAATGAAAGGCCTTAAAGATTAAATAGTTTTTTAATGAGCTAACACATTAGGATTATATGTCAATAAGAAGAAGCTCTAAATCTGTTTAATAACGGCCTCCAACATGAGGTTTGAATTGGAGTTTTTTGAATAACCCAATGAACTTTTGGTATCTCAACACGCGCCCCTGTTAGGATCAACATCTTAGTCTCTTCCACCTCAGAAGCCATTACCATGTGCACCTCATTTGCCCAAAGCCATGGATCACATGAATGCACGCGCTCCACTGCAGCAACTTTTACTGCCGCCACCAGCTGCAAAAAAAAATAACAAAATACGCCAAAAACAACCAAGTGGCAAGAGCTGCAAGAAACCCATTGCGATCACGTTCCAGGCACCTTTTTATACCTTATGACTCTGATTGATGGCCGTTGCCGAAATATAAATGCCAAAATATCACACGCCAGTTAAAAGTCGATTTATTACCGCCGCCAACAAAGCCATTTTCGAAGCTCTCAATTAGCCGTGGAAAAGCCCAAAAGTTGGCCGCGTCTCTCGCATCGCCTCCAAGTCGCCCGAAAGTGGGCAAACGTGTGCAAGGAACTGCTACCATAAAATCTGCTCCAGAGTCTGTCGTAAACAGGCGAAATTCCCGCACGGGTGGCCAATTAAATTGGGCTGCCAAATGCGCGACACGCGCTCATCGAAATTGTCAGTACAGGACGCAGAAAACAGGGGAAATTCGAGGGCGGGAAAGCCGGAGAAATTAGCATAACAAAGTGGCTAAATCAGAAATCGATATGTTCACCTTCGCTGAACCGAAAAGAGGGCACAAATGCGGGAATTTCCACGCACGTTTTTCCCTTCGCGCTTCAAGTGGAGCACACGCCCAGCACTTGAGCTGATTCTGCTCCTGAAGTGGTTGCTCCGCGATTTCCCCCATTTTCTACACAGATTTTCCACAAATTTTCCACACATTTTCCGCCGCCGATGACAACAGGTGCTCTTGAAATGGAGCCGCATTGTAATGTAATGCGTGCTAAATCGTTGCACGTGTTTGCCAACAACGAGTGCGAATTTGCCCCCTAAAAAATACTTTGTTGCAAGCTATTGAAGTTTCAGCTGATTTGATTCATTCAATTGATTGCGCATACTGTGTGCATATTGGCTGGAAGATATGCTACAAATATTATTCAAATGGTTTTCGTTGAATGTATACCAAATCATGGAATTCTTTTCCCTCATCAAGTTAGAATATGCACACGCGTTCCCAAGATTGAAATCGTATTTGAATTTCAATGTGGCCCCCTCATTATGTTTATTCAAGTTGATATCCCTCCTCAGTGCTGATACGCAGTGAGGTCAGTCGATGAACTCAGTGCAAGGACTTCCATGACAAGAGCTGCATTTAATTATCGTCTACAAATCCATTTCACAAATAACAATCAAGTTACTGCTGGCGATGGTTGAGTGTGGGTGTGAGGGTGGCTTTTGCTTGCAACTGGTCATCTGATCAATGTCCTCCTGGCCAAGGCCAGATGAAAACGTGTGCAGTTTTCCCGGAAAACAGCTTGGCCCTTTGAAATTAATTATCCATGCTCGAAATCGTAACTGAGCACAGAGATTCTCGTTTCAATGCAGTTTTAATTGCACTGCCCGAGGGCTTGGACTTTGGCTCTCGCATCCTGGAAGAGGTCCTTGCCCTGCCTTGAATCACTGACTTGTTAATAATTTAGAGCACGAGTAACGCCAGTTCCACTTGAATAATTCAATTAGCATACTCTCGGGCTAAGCAGATATGCTCAATGGGAGGGGGAAACCAAGAGGTAAGCTTGTAAGACTTCCACTCATTCTGAAGAGCGGCGTTAAACAACAGGTGTGCTGCATTTGCGAGGTTGTGGGAATCCCTTGTGAGAGCTGCAACTGTGCCAAGAGAGCACCTGCCTCAAAATGCATCCACTTAGTGTCAACCGACGAGCTCGAATGAATATTCAGTGGCCTGGGAGGTGTAGGAAGCAGAAGTTGTGGCCCACCTTTGTCTGCAAATCCGTTCGTTCGAAGGTTGTTTGCCGAATTATCGCTTGACTAGCTAACGGTAATGCTGTCTTTATAAGCTATAAGCCTATACTACGACATGGGTTATGAGCAGGGGGACATAAATTATGCCAAGCTGAACTGAGGCAAATTAAACTTGTAGCTGGGCACAATTGAGTTGTACGGCTGTCAAGGTCGAAGAGCTGCCAACAATGGATTATTGTTATGGGCGATATGAATTATATTTAGCAACCCCACCCATCGTCTTATGATTTTCACTCGGCGAAATAACATTTATTAGGTAAAATCGCAAATTGATTTCCATTACGCCGCCGGCAAAAAGCAATACACGACTTTTCAATTTTCGCATGAATTATAGTTGGTATTTTCGGTCCAGGATCAGCTGGCCGGCTAAAAAGGTAATTAAGTGACTCAATTCACTTCTCAGCAACTCTTGATGTGCTCCCATTTTTCATTTGCGAAACTGGGCGAAAAGCATTTAGCTGCGACAGTTGGCCAGGCATTAATAAAAAGATATTTCAACGCACTTTTCACTGGTCAACCTGTTGACAGGCGCACGCGTTTGTCGCTTGAGTCTTTCGTTTCCCCGCAATGATAATTGCCAGGGGGTGCGGGGAGAGTGGGCCGGTGGCTGGGGCTGGGGCTGGGCAAGGCGTTGCAATAAAACAATTTTTTCGGTATTTTGTTTTTTCCTTCCAATTTTTAAAACACCCGACCGGAGTCGATATGAATCGAGCAAGTTGCTCAAGTAAAATTAATTTGAAGTGCAATTGAATGCTGAATGGCAATCTTGATGGAGGGGATGGTTGGGGTGAGTTCGCAACTGGGTGCTGGAAAACTGAACAAGCAGTTTGGTGTAAAATAGCCATGCCTGCGAAACAGCAACACTATCTGGAATCCTTATAAATGCGAAAAGTACTGAGCACTTCACGCTCAACTTAGAATTCATTCCACACTCGATAAATAGACGGTTGCCCCATCAATAAATCATTTAAAAGAACATTTTATTGAGAAATAAAATTAATTTTTACCCTAATACAAAAAAATAAAATTAACCCTGATTTTAAATTTTAATAATCATATTGAAAAATTCATTTTTTAACATTTTATGCATCGTGAAGGTTAATGGAAGTTTTGTGTTACGAGGCACATTCCCAAAAGGTTAATTCATGGATATTTGAATCGAACATTTTAAGAACAGAATTAATAAATTTATAAAAAGATTTAAATTTTCATAAAGAAAAAACACTGCAATCATATTCGTTTAAGAGTCATTTATCGTTTATTTACAGAAAGTATTGAAGCCACAGTGCATGGAGTTGCACCATAATAACAAAATCAACGAAACTTGATCCTTCGTCAATCTCCCTCGCTCTCGCCGCCTCCCATTAGTTGTCCTTAGTTATCTAGATGTCTCTGTCTCCAAGTGGATGTCTGGGTTTTGAGGATTTTTGTACACAATTTGTATTTCCGCCTCTGACTACGAAAAGCAAACTCAACACTTTGACGGCAGCAAAATGCGAATTATCCGCTGAATGTTCAATCGGGGTCGTCATCGTTGGCTGGTATCCTTTCCGACATCCAGGTCCTTAGTGCAGGTAAGCTCCGTGTCCGTAGCCGGAGTATCCCAGACCGTAGCCACCGTAGCCGCCATAGGATCCGTGGTAGGTGGAGGTGGAGTGCAGAGCAGGCACGGCATGGACCAGAGGAGCGGCGTGCACCAGGGGAGCGGCATGGACCACGGGGATGGCCTTGGTGGCCACCTTGTAGGTGTTGGCGTAGGAGGTGGCCACCGGATGGGCCACAATGGGGGCGGCGTAGCTCTTGATGATCGGAGCGTGCGAGATCAGGGCCGGGGCGGCATAAGCCGGAGCCAAGGCAGCTCCGTATCCCAGTCCGTATCCATGGCTGTAGGGCGAGATCACTCCGGCATTGGCCACGGCGCACAGGGCAGATACGAGGGCAATCTGTGGAGAGAAACCGCTTTGTTGACTCCATATGAGGGGTATCCTTTAATCCCGAACTTACCAGTTTGAACATTTTGCTGGTTTTGTGTTGCTTGGACTTCTTGACCGAAGAGCTGAATGTGTTATGCTTAGACGTCTCAAGTAGCCCTGTTATTTATACTCGCAACATGAGAAATATTCTGACAAATCTTGGCCCAAAGAGCGGCGGAGAGGGAGAGCAAACACGCCCCTTTCGACGGCCGAGAGCCGAAGCTTTGTGCATTTGCCGACCAGCAGATCGCGAAAGAGATCAGTCACGCGGCGGTTTTGGCTCAGATGTGAGCCACCGAATCCCCGAGATTTCCATGGAGAACCACCATGGGCATTTAATTCAATTTGTATTTTTTGTCAGCTGTTGTCGGCAAGTCTTGCTCTAACGGAAACTTTTATATTTCCATTCATTTCGGCGTGGAAATGAACAATTGTCTTCTGGGGGTTTCCAGCTGAGAAAATTCTACTGCTAAACCTAGTTTTGTCTATGAGTTATTTTGCCATTATTCCTGAGATCTAAATTGGCTATTAAGTGCACTTCCTTTGAAAGTGCACATTAATTTATTGGCAATTATTTTTGTAATAACATTTTTGCTCATGCATATATAAGTAAGGTAAAAATCGCAATTAGCCAACTAAATACAATTCATGTTTGATTTCATGTCTTCATATTTCTCTGTTTAAAGGCACTCTCCGATTTACCAAAGAAAAGCCTGCAAGCCTATTAAGCATATCTGTCTAAATCCTTTCTAAAGCCGAAAACACGCACTTTATTACCAATCAGTTGACTGACTGACTGACAGCTCATTAGAGATATAGAGATCCGTAGGTGTGGAAAATGTTGTTGTCCAGATGCAAATGATCAATCGGAGCTGCCTCTCCACGCAGCAAATAAACTCAAGTGGTCCATGAAAAATTACTCACTTTAATAACTGACAAACACAGAGTGGAGATTGGTGCAGTTGGTCATTTTGGTGGCTGCTGGACGGCAGCTGGTTCGCCTATATTTTGCATGCATTAATATTGAACTGATTTGTTATCGCACACATGGCGTATGCGTAACTTGGGTGGAAGGAGCGGAGTCAATTGGAAACAGAGGTAAATCATATTTGCGCATTCGAATGGCCTGCCAGATTTCCTAATAGCCATGCTTAATTTCAAGACAGCTTTGAAATCATATCACAAGATCAGTCAGAACACGAGGCTCGAAAAGCATTGCAAACTGCTTGTTTTGGGCCTTGAATCGCTGATTAGTATCGAAGAGTTTTATGAAATTCGAAATTCTCCCAGTGCGAACAAAGGCCGTCTTAAAGTTTATGAATCATAAATCAATAAAAAACTACGCTGGCGACAATTCTTCGACTCCGCGACCCTGGGCATCGTTGCTGATTGGACCCCAAATGGACAATCTGCATGTCAACGGGGCTTAGAGCAAGTCAAGTCTAAAACTAAGCCGAACCCTTCACCAAAGCCAACACCTCGTGATTTCGACCCGTGGCGTTATGCAAATGCTAACCAAATTGTCGCATAAATCGCAATCGAAGGCGGTTGATTGACACCAAACAGGATGCCAAATTGCGTGTCTATCTATCGATCCGCAGCCACAAAACCAAAAATGCCACCCACTCGGTGGTTTTGGTTTTTGGTTTTTGGTTTGGTGCTGGTTCCGATTGCAGCTGACCACCAAACCCTGTTGGCCTGTAATTGCATTTTAATGGCCTCCCAATTGCACTCTGTTTGTCTGCTGGCCATTGAGCAACGTCCATCTAATGCATGCATTTGATTTTGATTCAGATTCGCATTTCCCAAGCGACGCCCAAAATACCTTGATTGCCAACAAATCATTCAAAAGTCGAAATTAAAAGCCGTCAATTTTCCAACTCAACTCGTGGCTCAGCTCAATATTTTTTCCTTTCGTGATTTATGCGATTTTTCTGGGGAAATAGTCGGACCTGAAATTTGTGTACCCCATTCTGGCTAAGGAAATTTCCCAAGTTTTCCCAAGTCGGGGGTCTGGAGTTCGCAAATGGAGCAGAGGTGATTAGTTCGGCTTACATGCATTTGATTAGACCAGCAGTGACCGCAAAGAGTTATTATTTAATTTGTTATAGTTTTGCATAATTGTCGGTTTGGCGGAGGCCAATTTGCATAGCTGACTCCCATCTGCGGATCGCTGGCTGTGACTCGAGTGTGGCCAATTAAGTATTAAGTATACCACATGTTGGACGCCACTCGGTCAAGGCCGTGCTTACCCCAGCCTTTGTCACAATGTCGTGCACATTACAATGTGTACAGCAAAACCCGGCCATTATTCGTTTTATAATGATTAATACCAAGAGGAATAGCGACAACAGCCAAGTGCGAAACTGTAACAATGGCTGGCAAAATCGTATTTGTGTATAGCTAATTACCCTGGAATTACCCTGCCTTAGAAATAAAGCTGGACTTAACCTTCATATACTTATTTCAAATTAGTTCACATATGTAAAGGCATACCTTAAATCTAAATATAAAATTATTCATTATATTTAATTTATAAAAAGTACTAGACTTCGCTTTATATATAAATCTTCGAATCAAAGCATATCTTTCCAGAATAAATATAGCTTCCTTACATTCCGAAAATCGTTTCGTAGCAAGACTATTACGAGTTGCCATTTTTTAATGAGTCTGAAATACCATGCCGTGATTATGTTTCTAGGGTACCAATCAACGCTCTGTTTTTCCACCTTCAATAAAGCAAATGTCAGGCAGACACCGCTGTGAAAAGCTCTAGAAAAACACACTGGGCAACGTGGATCTGTGTTTTCATTTATGGAATTGAAGTGAACTAAGGTGGATAAACCCCAGTCTCCCCCCATTTCCACCCTTCCTTGGCTACTGTTTTATGCCAGAGCTGTTTTACCTTCGACTCCGCCACGAGGTTGGGCCAACAATTATCATTTGCAAAGTTGGTTTCATTTTGCTTTGGAGTTCTTTTTGTACGGGGACATGGCGCAATGTGGCTCATGGCACGTAAAGCGTTTGTTTTTGTAGCTAATTTTGTTATTTTGATCAGCCTGCTGCATGCTAAAACTATTTTGGTCACAGATCATTTGACAGCTTCACTGAGTGTTCGCTTTCTGGCCGTCAATGCAAATAGACCGAAATCTGCTTCATAATTAAGTAGTTAAATCGGAGCCGTGTCTCCGATTTGAGTTGCACCATAACAACTGAAAAGACAACAACACGGCGAACAACTCACGCCCCTTTTGACGCTCGTAAATTAAATTTGTGTGTCGCCAAATTGTTTGCAAATCGTTTGACTCCCAGTTGAGAGATTTATGCGAGGGGCTGTCCGAAATAATTCCTTACTCGATTAGTGTTTTTTAATTGAATTTAGTTCTCGTGTGGGTGCGTACTGCGCATTCCCCCTATCTCCCCGATTTTATTCCCATTGTTGTACAAATCCAGTAGGTTCCAATGCATCTAATTTGACTTTCACTTTTGCTGCCGCTTATTGCTGTACGATCTTAGATTGTTCTAGAGCAATTCGGTGACTTGTGTAGTCACTCACCCTGAACTTGTGCTGAAATCAAATTACTGGGCGAGATCCAAGCATGATTGCACACCTGTGAGGGCAGTATCTGTATCTGAGTTAGAGGTGGCAGTCTAGCCAATCACGAATCTTTCCCGAAAGATTAACTGGCGCCCGGGCAGGGATTATCAGGACTAAGGTCCCTGTTCGGGCGTCATCGTACTGTTCCGGGCTTTCTGTCTCCAGTCTTCAGTTTGTGCAATATTGTTAAGTACAGTCAAATTAAATACTCTTTAAGTTATCATTGCAGTTCATAATTTTGAACTCGAAACACATTTACCCATCCCTAGGTGCCGCTCTATGAACTACCAATTTTGCTGATCAAGTTCACTCTGCTTTGGTTTTCTCACAAGCATAAGCAACAATGAACTGAGAACACCATAAGCGATAAAAAGTCAATTAGACTTAATGATAGCCACAGCTAGCACATTAAATTCATGTACGTAAATTATATAGAAAAACGAAATACGTACAAGAAAACAACACCAAAACGAATTCGATTGGAGAACAACAACTGCAGACAAACGAACTCCGCTCAACGCGACTCCAAATACTCTGTGTAATCAAGGAAGTGGTTGACGCTCTAGTGTTTGCCAAGCTGCAACCGGCAAAAAGTTGCTTGTGCGTCTAGTTTTGTATAATTCAGTCATTAAAATTAATAAGACAATGCAGATCACACGCCCCGCAACAACCAAAAACACGCTGACAGCAAATCCCAAAGGCGGTGCAAGAACTGGCCTAGCCAGGCATTGGCCAAACGTTTGGGCCTAGAGGCGGATGTGGCCATTACAAATCTAATTACATGGCGTATGAACGATTTTCAATGCTGCTTTTAGCCAGGCCAAGCTGAGTCGCGCCGATAACGGGCAGATAAGGCCAGCTCAGGGTGTTGCTACTTTGTACCAATAATTACAACAAAAATCTCAGACTGGGCATTGCTTACTGCAGCTAATTAAGTTGCATGTTTCATGCTGACAGCCCAAAAGATACAAATACAAATGCTGTTGAGTTCGAGTTGAATTCGAGCCGGTCCCAGTGGACACAGTCAACTTCTATTAGAAACTCTTGTGCATTTGTCAAAATTCCAATTACTTTTGGAAAAAATTTTTTTGGAAAAGTGGATTAACCGAAGTTAAGATTCTTCACTTCCTAATAGGATTAGGCCACAAGACATTACCAACTTGGTACGAATTAAAGGCATTAAGTAAATTGATTAAAATATTTGTTGGTACTTTGGCCTCTTCTAATTGGTGGCAAGAAATTCCGTTTTTTCTTGCGTTTGGCCAGGAGCAGCATAGTCACATATGTGGTTAAATAAGTGCCTAGCGCAATCATGGGTTAAACAAAAGACAAAGCTGCTATAAGTTAAGCAAAGCTTAAAACTAAGCTTCACTTTAAGATGGCTGCTCAAAAGTATACAACTATTTTTCCAAACGATACTACATTTATCTGACTCTAAACAAAAGAATTGCTCTCTGAGCCGTAGCCATTATGTTACCTTTTTAACATATTTATTTGTTTCTTGCTTTTATTTCTGCAGAGAGCAATA